TGGCAAGAGCAGTAGCGAGTGCGTGTGCTGTTCCTCATCGTGGAGTATCGTTAAAACTAAAAAACATGCGCCAATGGAAGTTGCTTCAGCTCCTTCTCTGCCATGATCAAGTTGCTACACAGGTCCTCATCGTGGAGTCGTATCTTTTCCAGTGTACGTCAACAGGCATGTTGATGTGTTCCGCGACAAAGTGCAGTGGGCCCATGCTTTGAGGCGGCCTGAATCACTGGAGAGAAGCCAATCACCTTGCGAGAGCAGTAGTGAGTGTGTGTGTAGTTCCTCGCCGTAGAGTAACGTAGAACATGCACAAGTGTAAGCTGCATGGCACCCTTCACATCTCGCTTCAGCTCGTTCTCTGCCATGATCAAGTTGCTACAGACCTTGCACGCTGATTCCATACACCACTGCCACAGGTTATGTCTGTCAGCTAGCTACAGCAACAATATCCTCTTCATGAATGTTCAAAACTATTTTCTCGGGTGAAAATCAGCTCTCCACTGTCTACAACACAGCATGATCGCATGTGCATGGACAGGATCCGACTGCGATGCAGCTCTCCTGGAAGGAAGCAAAGTTCTCCTGTCGCCAATGCCATCGCTTGTCAGTGTCACTCAAGAAAAAATAAATTTCAATTTCAGAAGCTACGAATTCAACGCATTCCAGTCTGCTTCCACCAAGACTACTACAGGGCATCTGATTTGACAAGGTATATCAGTAGGACTTGGAAAAGTCACAGTAACAGTTTTACAGTTTGCAAGATCACTAGCCATTACAACAAGTATCAGAACATGAAAACAAACCTCGTGTAGATCCACAATTTCACATTCAACCCATCGATCTACAAAATAGGTTCCCATTCCCGCCAGCTGGACATGCATGCATGCATGCATGCTCTCACCAGGCCGGGAGTCGTCAAACGCCGGTACTTGACGACTCCCTGGCTCTCACTTGTCAGCCAGCTCACACGTCTTGTCGTGCACGCGCAGACGTCCAGCACACACGCGTGTCGAAATGTGTTTTTTGGCGGGTAGTCGGCAAAAAATTAAGTGAGGGTCCCTTTAGTCCTTCGCTTCTTCAAACGGCGCAAAACGAACACGTGATGAACCTACAGCGTTATCATCTTCTTCCCCTGAAAAGCTTTCAGCTTGGAGCGAATTCGAAAATAATAATTATTTAGTGTAGTATTTGCTGTAGTGTCTTTGCTGTTGCTACTATGGACAAAAACAGTGATAGTATTCGTAGGAGGATAGGTCAAGCCCTATTTCCACATGGAGGCGAACGGTCTTCCCTACCTCGGCTCGTGAAGCGCCCGAAAAAGAAGCCCCCGTCTCAATTCCATTCTGCTGATTTGGTCGTGTCCAAAAATGCTATATCGTCAGAAAGCCGCTGCGCTCAGGACCTTGGGAGCTCTGTAAGTCAATGTTAAACATCGAAATCCTCAGTGAATAATACATGATGAATACTAACATATCGGAGAAGAGATGTACATGTTGCCATGATGTTGGTAGCACATGGACATGTAGGTTGGTCCAACTCTTTGAACATTAGTAATTCAAGCAAAACAAAGAAAGATTTTGTGTACTGTAGTTGTTGCCACTCATTATATCATTGATAGAATCAAAAGCTGTATTGCTTTGGGTTCCATCTCTGTGTAATACACCTGCTCAGGATTGGTAAACTGCCCAACTATGTGAATCATCCTGATGTTTTCAACCATATGAGCGGGTCCCAACCGTTTGGGCCGGTCCCACTATGACTCTACCGAAAGGTGGCTTTAAAACCACATGGTATCACAAAAATGTAACATGCAATATTTATCCAATGTTGAATCGGGCAGGTGACCGAGAGCAACAACTAGGGGTTTGTGTAAAGATATTAGAGAGGTTCCGCATAACGTAATGACGTACGTTGGTAAAAAACGTAGTCGATCTACGGAAAGTCTTACGTAAACTACATGCGCATCTGTGCTCCGCCATACGGAGTTTTCAAATCACGTAGCTGCCCTTGGCAACTCCGAACGCGGCAGTGTACGACCAGATCGACCTGGGGAGAGAGTCATAAATTTGTACCCCAATCCACTTACGGACCAGCTACGTTATCAGAGCCCTATCTACGTACTCTACGTAGACAACTTTCCGTAAGTAGAGTGCAAACTCGCAAATTCACGGGTTTTTCCCGCCCACTAACGTAAAGTTGCTCAACTTTACGTAGTGCGGAACCTCTCTAATGGCCATTGAAGACGGTGTAAACTGTAAATTTTTGAAAAATGCACGCCGCAAATTCTGTCTTTCCGCTACAGTTATAAATATACTTCGAAGTAAATAATAAACGGCAATCCATGCTCAACTCGGCAGCTTGTGATCTGTAATACTTGGGTAAAGGTCTGTTTGACGCTGTGTCCGCTCCAAATCGGTTGTGGTAATGTTGATTTTGGTAAGAAATGTAACCCAATTTTGTGTGTTGTAACAATACTGGAAAACTCACTCACCTGGTATGGGACTTCTGCTTATCACATGCCCCTGAAATTGGTCTGCTACAAGAACATGGTCGTAGTGTCCCATCAGCGAACGTTTCGAGTCCAACACAATCACAGAACATGAAATGGTGGCTGGTCGGAATTAGGATACGTGGTCGGCCTTCAAGCACCAGAGTCCTCACTATTGTTAACGTATTTGCTGTTAATTAGTAAATTATCTGCTCGAACTGATTTCTTGCTTGTCAGTGAGGACAACAAGGGGCAGAGGACAGGTTACTAAGCGGGTCTGAGAGTTCCTGCTTGAAGTCCCCGAAAGCACAGCGCCTATTTTTCTGCAGTGGCTCTAATTTGCGGAGCATAATTTTTCTGAAACCAGTCCTTGTCAGTTGTCTTAATTGTGCTGACTCACCTTGGTTTCTCTAACTTCTGTTTGGAAATCTACATGATTGTGGTGACGAGGTGGCCGAGTGGTTAAGGCGATGGACTGCTAATCCATTGGGCTCTGCCCGCGTGGGTTCGAATCCCATCTTCGTCGTTCCAGATATTTTTTTGGAATTTTCTACAACTTTGTGCCCTTTGTGCCAAACTAAACGCTGTTGCGGAATACACAGTAGTAAAGTGAATGTGAGCAGGAGTGTAATTGGTGGCAAGAAATCAGATGTCCTGTAGTCCCGCGCCCAAGAACGTCGTTTCCAGGGGGGGTCAGGCTGGGACGTTCTTATCTTTGAGTGACTTTGTTTGTTTGTTTATTTAGAGTCGAAGAACAAACAGGCAAATTTGCCTAATTACATGATATCGACTAAAAAGGAAAATAAAGTATAAAAGGCCAATGAAGGTAATGATACTGAGTAGAGTGGGTAATGAAGTATTAAAAGCCAGTTAGGCCAGTAAAGGAAATGACTTGGCTGCGTTCTTATAGCACTTCTTTAGGAACAGTTTGTACTGGATCGTATGTACATAGTACCATGACATGCTTATGTACAAATGTAGCATAGAAGCTGCCAGAATACCAACACCGACGTTCTTAACTTTAGGCTGTGGCATTCGACTCTACTGCACAGCTACTGGTCTGGCAGTGTATGGAACCAAAACAAGGCTGTGAAGGAATCCGCCAAACCCCAGCACTACTGTGTTATGAGCATGGAGTAGTAAATTCGTTTTTAGCACTCCCTCATAGTGACTGTACCTTACATCGACACACACCATGTACCATGTATACGCCCGTCGCAAGAGAAGCACGCGAATCTGCAAATGCACTGGGTGTGCACCCACAGATTTTCGACACACACACACACGCACACACACATACTTGAGATCATTGACCGCCCCCGTGCGGCCTCCTGGCACCATTCGAGTTGAATAGAGAGAGAGAGAGAAAGAGCTTGCGAAACTCAGGACCACCACATATACCATGCAAACTGCAGAAATGGTTTTCTGGCCATGGCCCGGGGATTGAGCACCTGTCTTTTCTCAATGCACACCACCCAGTCTCTCCACGCACGGGGAACTAGGCACAGTGACCTAAACAACTACGCGTAAGTTGAAGACAACTGGTCCGTGCAGATCGCATCTCACTTTCAGCCAGAACCGTCTATGTGCTCATAAGGCCAGTGTGAAGTACTGCATGCAGAAGCATAAAAGTAAAATGAGGTACGAAGTAGCAGCTGCTGCGCTAGAAAAATTGCCTATTTCTGTTGGTGGTTTCCATGACCAGCATGGAAACCAAAATAAATAAATATTTATCCCATGGCTATAAGGAAGTGAAAAGAGACAGACACACACACACACACACACACACACACACACACAGAGCGACAGAGAGGAAGAGAGAGAGAGAGAGAGACCGCGCGCGCGAGAGAGAGAGAGAGAGAGAGAGAGAGAGAGAGAGAGAGAGAGAGAGAGATTGTGCCGTGCAAGAATGTTCGAAGTAGTTCGGCTGAAGGTGGACATACGGCAATGCTACACCATCGGGACACCTCGAGCAGACTTGAACTACATGTCAACCTGTGCAGTTAGTACGCACGCGTGCACTTGATCTACAAGTAGACTCAGGTTTGTGCACGACTAGTACTAGTAGAACATCGGCGGGTGCATGTGAAACTGCTGGTGCTGAACATGTACATACACCATCACCACTGACTACAGTACATTGTACTGAAGCATGACCATACTGCTAGGATCAGCACCAGCCAGTATGTACACTGTCTGTACTATGCCAGGAAAGAAAGAGTCTCTTGCAGGAATCCACTAGGATTGTCGTAGTGCACCCAATGGCTGCCGGGTATCTTTTTGATTTCAACATCGGCGAACAATCGACGAATCTCTGGATGAATTTCCTCCGTGATGTAATCAGAGTCTTCTCCCCCTATGAATAAAGTCGGTACGGAAGAGTTGCCGTCGAAGTGCGGGAACGTTGCCATTTCCGGGAGGAACTTCTGAATGGCATCCAGATTGCATCTCCAATAGAGCTTGTTCGTGCTGGTGTTCTTGCTGACGTTCATGGCAATGAATTCGCGCACGCCTTTGTTCGGAATACCGTCCTCTAACGCCGGCGCGACCTGTGCCCGTCGTGACAATGTCGACAAATCGAGCTCTTTCATGGTGCGTACAAATCCAGCGACCGCACCTACGCCGGTCGAATGCGTCGGTGCTGAATCGACTACGATGAGTTTCTCAACAACTTCTGGGTGTTTCTGGGCAACAACCATGACAGTCTTTCCACCCATGCTGTGACCAATCAGGTCGATTTTAGTCAGCGATTTTTCACGCATAAACTCCAGCACACTTTCCGCCATCGAATCGTAGCTCATAGTAGCAGTCCATTCGCTCTCGCCGTGATTCGGAGCATCCAATGCATAAACAGGACGGTTCAGCGCAGAGCTTATCCGAAGAGAAAGTGATTTCCAGTTCGTGCCGCTGCCCAGCGCTCCGTGCAAAATCACAACCGGTGGCTTTCCAGACACAATTTCTTCTCCTGTTGCTACGTAGCTGCTCGACGATTTGCAGCGGATTGCTGTCGCTGTTGCGCGTCCAAATCCGGCCAGAAATGGAGTTCGTAGTAGTTGTTGACCAATTACCGTCATGGTCCACAGATCGTCCAATGACTAAAAGAACCACAAGATCAAATAGCTGGATGGATGGGGGACAATGTTGGACCCTTTTCCTGAAATGGAAATGTCGAAAGTATTTGGCCAAGGTGTGTTCGTACGTCTACGACCCGAACGAAAGTACTAAAATAAGTAAGTCGGATACCTAACGCACCCGATAAGCCTAGAGAACATCTATCTCGTTTCTTTGCAGTGGATTTCGGCCAGGAAGATACTCGGACAGAACTACGAACAATAGTTTCTTTCATCTCGCAGAATGATCACTTCAATTTTTTGAATTGCATTCTTCAAAGTCACGTGATCATTTTGCCAGGGCATTCGAAATTTTTACTGCTTTTTGCTAAAAAAAAAACAACAGGTAAAATAGAAGACCAGCGCAGCATTATTGCCAATATTGGTTTGAGGGAAAGACACAGAAGCCTGAGAAGGGAAAAATCTGAAGAAAAAATTGACTGTCACCACCAGGATTCGAACCAGGGACCCAAAATAGTGTGTCATGGACGTCAGGAGTATGGGTCCAGACCAGAGCAGCGCACACACTACACCGTCACGTCACACGAGGACAAAATCCTAAAATTATGCTATAACTATGCGGCAAATATGCGGGGTTATGCGGTATAATGCGGTCATTATGCACGAGTTCTCTGTCATTGGTACACATTTAGCGTACAGTTTTATGAAAGCGGATAACGCGGAAAATTGCGCGTCCGCGGAATCGCGGTATCCTGTGGGGACAGACTACAGCCAACCACTGTACATCCACTCGATTTTAGAAACGCTCAAATAATTACTTGGCAACAGCCTTCACGAGACCAAAGTGCAGTGGTTACAATGAATTTCAGATTGGCGGCTCCCGTGGCCTCTGACCATATGGGTGGCCGCAGCTATGATTGCTGTGAACATGAACACATTGTGCTGTGGATTTTGATGATGCTTGCAAGGCTCCTGAATTGGCCACCACTGATTCCAGCTGTATGTATGCGAATCGCCACAAGCACGCACACCCCATACCCCCCCCCCTACACACACACACTCTCTCTCCCTCTCTGCCATCATATCGTGGAGATTGGACTTGTGATGTGGAACCGTGTACATGCACATGACATGTCATAATCGGTCATAATGCATTGAATTTATTATCTTGTGTGTCTGTGTTTGATTTTATAGGTGTCCATTGCTGCTTTGGAAGCAGCGAAGGCAGAACTTGGCATATCCAGTCTTGAGGAGGTTGCGTCTGGCTCCTTGTCGATAACCCTGGACCGAGCACATGTTTTCCGTGACTACCTGGCCAAGCTGCAGGCACCAGGCAAAGTATTTGGCTGCCGACAGGGTCGTGGTACGTGTTCTGCGTCATCAACGGAGCAGTCACTGGTGGTGAATGTGTCGGCACTGTGGCTAGTCCCTGTTCATGCTGCCTGCCTTAGTGTGGATCAGCTGAGGGTGGTGTTGGCCACACAGCACCTATCCAGTGTAGTTCAAACACAAGGGTATGTACGGCGGCGCTGTGCAGTGATGAGCGGCGTGTTCAACTGATACTGTGGCCAAATACATGTCTTCCATGCAGGGGTTTCCCCCGAGAATTCACAAGACAAGGCCATACTGGTGGCATACAGTTGAGACCAATGGTCATAAACTCAAGGTCGGCTACATGGTGCTCACATCCAGTAGCGTTCGGATCTCAAAGATCCTTGGAGAGCTGGTCTCTCTCGAGGCATAAGGACAACAGTCGCCATACGGGCAAGTCGAAAATGGAGTTGTGACCCTTCCAGTTGCAGGACCCGGGGGACTTCAGGAAAAAATCTGGCAGAACTTGAATCTTTTGCGCTGTGTGTGTGGCTGCGTGCATGCGTGTGTGCTTGTATCTGTGCTTGAACGGATATGTGCGTGTGTATCTGCCTGCAGGCTTCAACCTATCATTGTAGCTGATGCGCTCTCCTGTAGCAGGGACCTTGTTCAAGCCGCCATTGTACTGGCATGCACGGAGAAAACATCCGGCGTGCTAAGCAACCGACTTTGGCAGTACACGAGGGAAAGCACGGAGCGTTTATGCAGTGTGTGCTCTCATATTACAAGTGATCGTAAGCTGCAATTGGATGAAGCTGCTAAGCCTATACTCCAGTCTGTTGATCAGTGCCTAGACCCCACTGCAAAGATGTTTCCGGAAACGGTTGTGCGCCTGATCAAATCTCTATTTCAAACAAGCGCCGTGAACTATTCACTTTCGTCATCTGTGCCTCTCCTACGCGAGTTGCAGGTGAGCGTGTCGCCTTCATGTGTGCACATGTGTGTGTGGGCGTGTGTGTGCGTGTGTGCGTGTGTTCGTGTGCGCGTGTGTGTGTGAGTGTGTGGTGGTGGTGTGGGGGTGATGGATAGTGCTAGTAGAGCGTCCACTCTGATCTAGCAACAGGCACTAGTACTTGTTTGAAGTATTACCTTCAGTGGAGATAGGGTGAAATCCAATTGAATCCCTCGGATAGGTACCTTGAATGGCTTGATGCTGTTAGTCCTTTTTTTCTGCAACTTGTCCTTCGACCACTCACTGCGATGTTGTGATCACTTCCAAACCCACCGAGAGTCTTGGAATGAACAAGCTTCAAGGTCCTCACAAACAACACTTTGCGAAGAAGAAAAAAGTTCTATTCTTCCACAAGTACTTCTGATGCCTTCTTATCTGGTAGAGTGCAGCCTAAAAGAAGCTGAACTGAGCACGATGAATGTTATACAGCGGAGAGGTGACAGAAACAGTGCAGAGAAGAGTGGCCGACAACACGGTAACATGTGTGACCTTACACACGTAGAATGGCTGACACGAATGCAGGAGACAAGAGGCTGGTTTGCTGTAACTTTAATGGAGTGGCTGTCTGATGACCACCCAGAGCGTGAAGCTAACTGTTACTCCGGGTGATAGAAAAAGAGCTTCTTGTCTCCTGTATTTGTGTACTGTAAAGCGGGAAGCGTTTGCGCTGGTTTTAGTTCACGGTTTGTGTTTGCGCCGGTATTCTCACTCACAACACAGAGTCTGAGGTTTATAGAATATTATGATTATTATCACTAGGAGAAGACTGTATCCATTGCAAACTGATTGCAATACTTCAAAAGGCTAGCTACTACCTGGTAGTAACAGAAACAGCCAAAGACCAAGAACACAACAACTGCACCAGCAAGCTCTTTCCTTGCACTGCCCCCAAATACATCAAAATCAAGCAGCAAAATGCAAATCCACACGCATGTTTGCCGGAACTGAACCTCCATAGCGCAGCTGATCATTGCGGCTGCACGAGACGACCTTCCCGCCACAGTAGGACAAAGAACTATGCATGGAACTAGCAATGAATGCATGCAGCAGTTATGAATAGGGACATCAACAAGACACAACACACAGTAGTCATGAGCAGGCTGAGGTAACTGAGGGCCGGGGAACAGTACAGACATGTGCACAACAGCACCTAGGTTTACTACTACCCAAGGTTATTCATGTCTTGGTCTAAACTGAGCAAGTTACTAGTGGAGATCTGTGGGGTGACTTGGTCGTACCAACATCCTCCCCCCGGTGACGTCTTCAAGCGTCACCCTCATTCAGAACGTCCAGCACACAGATCTTTGACACCGGCCTGCGGTATGTCCCGGACGCTGTCTTGACGTCGGCCACTCTGACATGTCCATCGGTGCCGGGATAGACGGCCGTAATGGTACCTTTCGGCCAGCTGCCTCTGGGTAGGTCTCTGTCGGCAATCACGACTATGTCATTGACCTTGACCTCTTTCTGCTGTCGCTGATGCCACTTCGTCAACGGCGGCAGGTATTCACGCAGCCACCTCCTCCTTTTCCCAGCACGAAAGCGACCTGGGCACTCCCGTCGGCGAAGGTGACTCTGAGGTAGGCTGCAGCCGCAAAGGCCGACTCGCTGGCGTCTCCAAAGACGTGTAGTTGAACTTGGGCTCTCTTGGTCATATCTTCACTGTAGGGGCGTGGCACAGACAGCTCGCTCAGCTTGAGTAGCATTTGCCACCACTCTTTCCAGCATGTCACGAGGTCATCCGGTAGCGGCTGGTCCCAGCTGACTCCGGTGCGCCATATCCGCTGGAGAAGTACCTTTGCCGATACCGTGTGAAATGCCAGGTAGCCAAGCGGATCAAATACTGACATGCACATGCGTAGCACATGTCGCTTTGTCGGCTGCGTCACTTCTGCTTCTTGTGTCACCAGTCGTGCACTTAGCTTGAAGCTGAAGATGTCCTCCCGCGGCATCCATTTGAGGCCAAGGGTCTTCTCGGTCGGGGTGGCCGTTTCACCGCTGTCGATCGTGAGAGCGCTGTCGGACCTGAGCTCGGGTGGCACGCTTGCTAGGACCTCTGACGAGTTGCTTACCCAGCTACGAATGGTGAACCCGCCGGCTTTGTGGATCTTGACGACTTGAAGCGCTCTGGCGACAGCTGTCTCCACTGTTGGCGTTGAATCGAAGTAGTCGTCCATGTAGTGCTTGCGGTTGATTTCGTAGACAGCTTCTTCGTGGTTGTCCCTGAACTCCTCAGCATTCCTCCGCATCACGAACTGGGCCGAGGCAGGCGAGCATACCGCTCCGAACGTCATCGCCTTCATTTGGTACGCGTCCGGCTCTCTGTCACGTTTCATGCCTCGCCAAAGGAAGCGTTGGGATGGTTGATCTTCTTCCCGAATCTGTACCTGGTGGAACATCTGCTGTATATCGCCGCCGAAGGCAATACGGTGCTCCCTGAACTTGAATAGAACGCCGGTGAGAGAATTCAGCAGATCCGGACCCGGAACCAGGGCGTCGTTTAGGCTCACGCCGTTGCTTGAGGCTGCCGCGTCGAAGACTAGTCGCAGCTTCCCTGGTTTGTTCGGGTTCGTGACACCAAAGTGCGGCTGGTACCACTTGCGCTCGTGGAATGCTGTCTCCTCTTCTGGTGTCAGCTTGAAGGCATAACCGGCAGCCAGGTACTGTTCGATCTTACTGCAGTACGCGTCAGCGAAGACTTGATCCCTGTCCATCTTTCGCTCGATGGAGAACAGCCGCCGGAGGGCCATGGGCTTGCTCTCTGGTAGGAGTATGCCACTCTCTCTCCACAGGAGTCCGGTTTCCCAGCGGTCTTCGACTCGTCTGGTGGTCGAGTCCATGATCCTCTCAGCTCGCGCTTCCTGTCGGGACCGGATCTTAGTGCTGGTGACCTTGACACCAAACGAGTCTGTGGTGAAGAAAGACTTGACGAGCAGATGTAGGTCGTCATCGAAGCAGCCATCTTTGATTTGCGCTGACAGGCTGCTGTGTGCGTTTTCGGTGCTGAGATCATCGACTCTGCCGTGGATTGCCCAGCCTAGCTTGCACCGCGTGGCTACCGGCGATCCGGGCGGTCCCTCGACCCACTCTCGGGGCATGATCAGGTCACAATTGTCCTGCCCGATGAGCATTCTGGGCTTCTGCATATCCTCCACTGTCAGATCAGCGTCTCGGAGGTGTTTCCAGTGCTGGCAGGTGCTGTTGACGTCGAGGTCTTGCTTGGGTAGATCCAGTGTAACGGTTCGTACATCGTTCAGGTAGAACTCCTGCCCGCTTCCGAACACCGAAACCTCCACCTTCCTGGAGTTGTTGTCAGTCTGGCTGGTGTCGTCCGTCCAGGTCAGTGTCAGCGGGCAGTGCGTCCCCTTGGCGCCGATCTCCTTGGCTAGGCTAGCGTCAAGCAACGTGACTGTAGATGCTTCGTCGAGCAGAGCGAACGTGTGTACCGTCCCCTTCGTGCCTGTGACGTTGATGGGTACTGTGCGCAGCATCACCCTCCCACTGGTAGGTCGTCGAGTTGCGTTGCACGGCGCTGGCTGGTCCCCCGTCCTCTCCTGCGTGCTCGGTTGCGGCAGATGGAGGAGTCGGTGGTGTAGCCTTTCGCACCCGTCACGTCCGCACCGTGCTTTCTTCGGGCAGTCCCTGACTTGGTGTCCACAGCCAAAACAGACGAAGCAGCGGTTCTCATTCTTGATCCACTTCCACCTGTCCTTGACTAGGGCCTTCTTCAAGGTGTTGCAGTTGGCAGCGGAGTGTCCGGCTTTCTTGCAGAAACCGCATTGTTCTTCTCGTGCCCACGGAGGCCGCCTGGTCGCCTGCCAGATGGCGGCTTTTCAGCTCTGTCAGTGGCGGTGAGTCTTCTGACGTGGCTGATAGCGTCCGCTCGTTGTGATAGCCATTCGGAGAGTGTTGCCAGGGTCACTCCGGTCTGTTGGGTATGGACGAACTCCCCCCATTGCCGCTTCAGGCTGTTGGGAAGTTTCATGATCACTTCCTGCCGCAGGGTGGGATTTGTGAGATGTCCGGTATCGTTCATGAGCTGCATTGTTGCGACGAGGTTGCCGACCGCATTTGCCGTGTCGATGAGGGCCTCGAAGTCCTCTTCTCCAGCTGGCTTCAGTTTCTTGACGCCGTCAATTATGGTCTGTATCACCTGCTCTGGCTGCCCGAACCGCATTTCCAGAGTCTGCATGACACGATCGACGTTATCAGGTACGATGAGCATGGCTTTGACGGTGTCCTTAGCCTTCCCTTTGAGGGCTTTCTGTAGCCTGGCCATATTCTCCGCATTGGAGAATTTGCATTCACTCGTCGATGACGTGAACATATGGCGGAACATCGGCCAGGACGCCGGGTCGCCGTTAAACTCTGGGAGGTCCTTTGCGGTGGACTGTCGGGCGACTATCTTGTGAAGGTCGCTGCCAGTATCTTGGGAGCCATGTCTCTGCGTGGCTGTCGTCAGGTGTCCGGCCAAGGCTTCCGCAAGCTGGCTGACAGCTGTCACCACTGAAGTCTGAGCGGCCTGGGCCGGGGTGTGCTCTTCATCTGCGATTGGCTGGTCCCTAGCGCGTGCTGCGGGCGGCAGGTGTTGTGTCGGCTCAGCCTTGTCGCCAAGGGACTCCACATCCTCAGTATCTTTCGGGACGGGTTGGTGGTACTCAGCTGGAGTCCGGCGGTGGTATGACGATGACTTGTCCACAGACCTCGCTCCCCTGAGTTCTGCAGGTCGAGGCTCGTACTCGTGGACGGCGTGGAATCGAGCATCGTTACCAGGACTACTCGTGTCAGTCACGGTATCACGTCTCTGTTCGACTGCCCGGTCTGCAGGGCTACCTCGCGCTGCGCATTCCTCTAGGAACAGCTGGCGCCACTGGTCAGCTTTCCTTTGCTGCTGCTCCGCAGATTGCCTGGCTTGACTCAGGAGCTCACGTAGGTGATCCTTGTCACCCTCCGCGCGCGCAGCCTGCTCCTCGATCTCCTGGAGTTCTTCGCGTGACCGCTGTCTCTGGCAGGCCATCGCCTCGAACTCTACCTTGCGCTGCTCCGATACGCGCTTCATCTTGTCGAGTTCAGCCCGCAGTTCGGTGTTGCAATCATACAGGTCGCTGTTCTCAGCTTGAGCTGTGCTCTTGTGGAGGTCTAGCTCGCGACGTGTTCGCCGCAATTCAGACTGAAGGTGTTGCACGACAAGATCCTTCTCATGACTTTCGTCAGCGGACTGTTGTAAACTTTGCTGCAGGCAATCAATCATCCGGTGTGCGTGACTGAGTGCGTCTTCATTGGCCTGTGACTGTGCATTGTGTGCGGTTACAGCTGACTGCTCAGGGAGATTCACAGGTTCAGGACTACCCTGCAGTGCTTGGAGCGCTGATGGCGCTAGAGCTAGCGGTGTGGCATCTGCGCGTTCTGCCATGCTGTACGGAATGTGTGAAGAGGCACTAGTACCTTGCTCTACCTGCTCCGTGCGCTGTGTACCGGTACTTACTGAGTCTGACACTAAAACTGAGTTTTTGCCAACTCCTTGAAGTCGCTCTACTGTCCTACCGCTTGTAGAACAGGACTTGACTGTACGTGGGTCGCAGACACTATCTGCACTCAGGTCTATCAAGTCCGGGTCACTAGTTTGCCCTGACTGTACGGATTTAGCAGGGTACAACACGCTCACCTCATCGCTGCCATTTGCAGCTGTGGGCGCTTGCATTTCAGATCGTCGCTCTTCCTCGAACACTTCCTCTCTCATCGCGGGCGATGAAGACTTCGGTGTGCCAGAGCGTCTGGACGCCCTCTCGAGATTCAAGCTGGCCAGGTCAGCCTCCGCCTCTGCGACCCTCTTTCTCGCTTCTAGCAGGGCGCACCTTGCTTCCATCACTGATGGCGCACTTCCTGACGTGCGGCTTGATGCGAGCGACGGTGTCTGCCTGTTGAAGCTGGTTCTTGGACTGGTCGCACTCTCTTCGTCCTCAAACCCCAGTCGCCTGGGAGCAACTCCCTTGGTTGAACGAGCACTCGTTCTTTGTTCCTCCGCCATTCGCGATCCGGCTCGAAGGACCAATGTTTGCGCCGGTATTCTCACTCACAACACAGAGTCTGAGGTTTATAGAATATTATGATTATTATCACTAGGAGAAGACTGTATCCATTGCAAACTGATTGCAATACTTCAAAAGGCTAGCTACTACCTGGTAGTAACAGAAACAGCCAAAGACCAAGAACACAACAACTGCACCAGCAAGCTCTTTCCTTGCACTGCCCCCAAATACATCAAAATCAAGCAGCAAAATGCAAATCCACACGCATGTTTGCCGGAACTGAACCTCCATAGCGCAGCTGATCATTGCGGCTGCACGAGACGACCTTCCCGCCACAGTAGGACAAAGAACTATGCATGGAACTAGCAATGAATGCATGCAGCAGTTATGAATAGGGACATCAACAAGACACAACACACAGTAGTCATGAGCAGGCTGAGGTAACTGAGGGCCGGGGAACAGTACAGACATGTGCACAACAGCACCTAGGTTTACTACTACCCAAGGTTATTCATGTCTTGGTCTAAACTGAGCAAGTTACTAGTGGAGATCTGTGGGGTGACTTGGTCGTACCAACAGTTTGTGAGAACAGACCAATTTGCACCTGGAAATGTTTGCGATTGGAGTCAATTTGTTTACTACAGTTCTACGCTTTGCGCCGGCTTACTTTTGCGAGTTTGCACCCATCGTGAAAATCGCGAACGTTTCCAGATGAGGAAGATTTCCCAGTTTTCAATATACAGTACCTGCTTCCCCAATTGTAAGTCGCACACCGTGACCCACTTTCAGGTTTGAGCCATACTGTTGCAATACATTCACTTTTAAAGTAGGAAGTCACACTCGATTGTAAGTCGTACCCCTTTTACTGTATGTTTACTGTCGTTGCCTTTACAGTCTGTTCCTGAGTTATGGTCTGCATTGGTGTTCATCCGACGTCACGCCATCGAGTCCTGTTCGTCGCTGTTCACCAGCCTGTCCCTCCGTGTCAGCATCATAGATAGTCTACCACTGTTGCTACAGTCCAGCTTGGACGTCAGCTCCGTGCCGTACTGTCGTATCAGAGCGGGCACTGCGTGCGTGCTGTCCACGGCTGGTGATACTGGTCTGCGTGATGGTGCACGGCAGCCCGCTACGGCAGCTGCCACTAGCGACTCTACTGCGTCCGCTTCACCAAGTTGCTTGATCGACGCTCTGTACACCTGTCACACGGTGGAGGTCGTCGCCACGCATTCGCAGCCGTCGTGTGCCTGCGTGACTTGCCCGCTGGAAGAGAGTCGTATTCAGCCACGACTGGTGCATGAGGAGGGTGGGGATGGCGTCGTCGGTGCGTGCAGTCTCGATGTCAAAGCCTGCCTTGCGCAGCATAGCCTACCCATAGGTCAGTTACACTCACGGGCAATCTAATCTCCTATTATTTATTAACATATTGATTGTTAACAAGCGTTTTAATAGGAGACAGCAGTTTTATTATAGCTACAAAGAGGACTATTATTAGGGGTCGTCCATAATTATCAAACATTTTCACGAAACGAAATAATTTCATTATGGGGTGGGAGGGGGTTGACCAATTTCGTTTCAGAAAAGTTCGATACATGTTACATGGCCATAGGAGCAGTGACACACTGGCGACTTTTGTTGTATATGTATGTATATGTCAACACGTTTTACGTTCTGAGGGGGAGGGAGGGAGGGGTTGGGTCTAAACTAAAATAATTCGTTTGGTGAAAAAAGTTCGATATTTACGGACGGCCCCAAATTGCACTGTAAGCATTTCCTATAATTACGTCGACATGGACATGTATGTGTAAAATGTTCTACGATGATCGCAAGGCACACAACGAAAGGGAAAGAGAGGATTTGATTGTTGTTCTTCTTGTGCGGCTTTAAACAGCAGTTGTTCACATGCACACAAAAATACCAGGTATGAAGGATGTCGTTAGTGGTGCATTGTTGGACTCTTGGGGTTGGGTGAGGGTGGGGATGATAGAGGGCCTACCCCAGCTCAAATTATAGAAGTAATTGAAAATGTCCTTAGTTCTGTCCTGCACCAGTAGATGGTACATGCATGTGGTTGTGTGTATTAACGTTATAAACATGCAGGAATCCACTACTTTGAAATCACCAATCTACTGCTGGCAATGGTGGCAACAGCTTGATATGTACGCTTCTCAATCTGCTCCTGTTTGTTGCCTTTCCAGGAAAGAATGGTTTTGACCACGGCACTGACTATGTGCGTTGTAAGTGCCATTACGACATCTTGATGACAGTTACGGTGTGTCTTACTACTGTGTGTATGTCTGTGTTTGTGTGTGTGTGTGTGTGTGTGTGTGTGTGTGTGTGTATGTGTGTGTTTGTGTGGGTGTGGGTGTGTGGGTGTGTGGGTGGGGGGGGGGGGGGGGGGGGCGTGGGTGTGTGCGTGTATGATAGCCAGAAACCACTTAAACACATCCAGGGGCTGAGCGCCTGCACGACCCCCATCCGCTTCATCTAACTTGTTAGCTTGTGCATGGCAAAAGCCAGACGTACTCTTCCACTGTGACCTTTAAGATTCTTTGATGCTTGCTTTGTGTATTAGTTTTGTATGGAGTAGTAAAACTGGGACAGGACAAGTACCGACTTGCCACTCCATGCAACCGTACATGTGTGATGAAGGCACTAGCATGATCTCTAGGCCTCACTACGCTGTCTGATGATTGCCTCATGCGTAAAACTTGAAGCCACAGCAAAAAGTTGTCACTATTCTGTAACGTTAGTTGTGTAAGCCACGCTACGATGTAACAATGCAAGTTTCATCACCAGGGCTTTTCACCTCGTCGCTGGTTTAGAGCAAAGGTGGCAGGGTGAACTTTCCTGTGCGACCTAAAAGATATGTGATTGAGACTCCGGAAATGCAGTATACATATGCGGTCCGAAACCCCAGTGTGCGGTTTGAGTGTGTGTGTGTGTGTGTGTGTGTGTGTGTGTGTGTGTGTGTGTGTGTGTGTGCGCGTGCGTGCGTGCGTGTGCGTGCGTGCAGGCATACAGCAGTAAGTGAAGTACGAAGGGGTGTACCGGTATCTATGCTGTGCGTTGAGCAGTGTAGTGTTGTTGTCAGTCGTGATCAGTTCTGGTGTGTTTGCTGCTCTACATGACTGTGTATATGCTGGTATGCAGGTCGTGACATGAACGGCACTATACTCTCTCCGGCAGCTGTCCATGCTCTGCACAGTGTGGAGTTAAGAAACATGCTTCAGGTGAGCGACTCCCGTGTGTTGCATGCCATGGTGCCACGGACACAGCATACCTCAAGTAATGGCGCTTTACCCCACAGCAAATGTTCGTTGGAATATAAGCCACACTTTTAAACACCAATACTTCACCCCCAAAAAGACGTTGCGGCTTACACTACGATGCCGGTCAAATTAATGGTGATAAATAGGGTGGATGTCTGTATTTCGTGACAAAAAAATCTGGATTCTGAGTGCGAGACAGAACAATAGGGGTATGAACATTTCCCTCCGGAAGATTGTCAAGGAAATCCTCCACATCTTCCACCTTACGTCCCGTCTACTTTATACTGTAATGAGGGAGCGTTTGCCTTGTTGAAAGGCAGCTGGGGGCAGCTAAAGGTTGTTAACGTGATCCATGTGGAGAATTCCACTCACACCATCGTAGCAGCATTCGTTCTTCACAGCATTGCCATTATGGAGGAGGAAGATGTGGAGGATTTCCTTGATAATCTTCCGGAGGGAAATGTTTATAACCCGGTTCTGTCTCGCACTCAGAATCCGTCAAGCCAAAAAAAGACCGTGTATTTCCTGTGCATGCGCAATATGAATGATGATAATGAAAGGAGTCATAATATTACTAGACATAGCAATCCTCCCTGCAAAAAGTGATCTATATACAGCAAGGGGAAAAATAGGAAAATATATGTAGTGTTTGGACAACAGTTCGAAATGCTTGGAGTTATATAATTAGCACACAAAGGTACGAAGCCAGCTGTAAACTTGATGGGGCCTTTCGCACCATTACTTCTCTAATCAGTACATGGTGGTAAAGTGACGAAGCACAACGATGTCAATTTATACAGCATATTGGCGGAAAAATGGTGATGAAACGTACATAGGCTGAATGATGGCGTGAGTTGCGCCAAAGAGTATAAAACCATAGCAGCCTCACGAGGTTTACAACTGACTTCGTCTCTTCATGTGCTAATATGTTCCCCTCTGACTAAGCCGTTAGTTATATAATTTATGCTACTTTGAAGCACATGCACTTCTGAGAGAATTTTGCAGTCAGCTGCTGGTTTCTTGGTACTTAGCTTCCTTCACGGTATGCTTGGAAACACTGGATGTGCAAGCCGACGTTACAACGCCTGCAATCATAGCAGCTCTTGAGGCACTCGGACTTATACTAGTAATACGAAAGAAACAACAAACTGTAAATGTCACCTACAGTTGCACAACACCTCTCCCCCAGGTGGATTTACAATGAGAGGCGAACAGGGGGGCGAATCGAAGCACGATCGCGCAACCCATAGCCATGCAGGACTACAGGAAGAGGCCAATCTAAACTGACTAGCAATTCCTCTGACTCTTCCTCTGGCAACTCGGCAACAATCGGAGCTGGAACATTAATCACTGCAGGCTCACTAACTGGAGCAGACTTCAGCAAGGCAACATTGACAGTCTTGTCTCTGCGACCAGGCTTCGAGATAATGACAGTAGAGGGTGAAACAACAAACTGCACGACCCAACCTTCCTCAAAAGCAACTGACGTTTCTGGTGACGGTCTGGGCGCAATAACATGACACGATCACCCACCTGGCATGGGCACGGTTTGACAGGCTCAATAAAATCAATGCGAGACAAAGCATCATCAACCAAATCTCGAATTTGCGCAGAACGAGCAGACAGGGTATCAACCCAATGGCTCTCAGCGTACAACAATGGCTCAGATGCAATTAAAAGATGAGGTGGCTGCCAACCAACCATAGCCTGCATGGACGACAGTCCCAGGTTTCGGCACCACGTGTTACTGACTCTGCAGTGCATAAACATACACATACACGCTGAGGACTTCCACGTGGTCCAGCAATCTTGGCCGGCCAATGGTATCCGATGGTTTGATTGGCTGGTGGATTCAGAACAGCTATGGCGAACACAGCCTCTTCAGCGTAGCATGCACAGACTTAGACAACTGCGATATCAGACAACCAGTCATCTTCTTCTGTGTGCGGTTCTTCTCCGCAGCGCAATATGAATGATGGCAATGAAAGGAGTCATAATATTACTAGACATAGCACCTATTCTCTACTTCCAACCTAATATTCCCGCACTTCAGAAGTGAGACAGACTTGTAGATTTGATGCAGTGATGCTATTTCCTGCCTGTTGATGAATGCTTGAAGTTGTAGTTGACTTGTTCGGCAGTTAGTTGACCATTGTCACGGAATGATGTCATTAGCCATGGCAACTGCGGGCAAGCAGAGTCACCAACCATGAATGAACCCGCTGGGAAAGAATCTCGCCACGCCGCTTGTGTAGCAAGCTCCTTCAAAGGGCTGTTGTCGAATACACGGGCACCATGTACAGACCCTAGCCATCCACAAAGTACATCAGTGAACAAAGATATAGTTTAGGAATGCTACTCTCGATCTGTAGAATTCTAAATGACGTTTTGGCCTTTCAGTGAGCTCATTACAATTATCCATATGTACACGTTGATTGCGTGCCGCATGAGATCCCGACACACACTTTGGTTTGATATTGGACTTCCACCCCACAACTTCGTTCATTTCGGCAAAGAACTCTGGCTCCTTCTTCCTCTCTGCCCCCGTCTTGTATTGTCCGTCCCAATTCTTTGTATCTCATCATCAAATTCTTCCACCGGTTTTTCACATTGCTCGGCTGGAGGAAAATAGCTTCGCCCTTGAATTCTTCAGCGAGCTCGGCGGAGATCTTTTGCCAAAGACTTTTTTTCTTGAAGTTGACGTAGTTGAACTACTCATCCCAACTCCGCATGACCTGAATCAAGAGCAACGTCAAAGCACAGTTCCTCCGTCTTGTATTGTCCGTCCACAAAGTCTTTGCATCTCTTCATCAAGTTCTTCCACCGGTTTTCACATTGCTCAGCTGAAGGAAGACGGCTTCGACCTTCACCATTATTTACAAAACCTCTATCTGAAGAAAAAAACCCTTTGGGGAGAACCAAGCGCGGTTGGCCGACTAGAAGCGAAAACTATTTTTTGTCATTAAGGACGTTTAGCAACGCGAAAGTTCGAAAGAAAATTCGAGCCTGGGAATGAGTACAGGAAGAAAGCTCGAAACTTCGAAAACTTGGACGCGAAGTTGCAGTGATTTGCGAAAGTAACTTTCTCTTTTCTCGGTACGCATTTGACTACAGGGAGTAGTAATTGTACAGCCCCCTGCTTGAGACTGAGCTGCATATATGGTACGGTACTATAAGATTCAAATAACTTCGAGAAAAGGTCATTTCGCATTGCTAAACCTCACAAGTTTTCTTTTTCGAAATTGATTTTCGCGAAATATCACCACCACCAAAAGTTCGAATTTTCGCATTGCTAAACGTCCTTATTAACCTATCCATTTTCTAGAATTTTTCTCCCGCATCACTGCTCTTACTGAGCGGTATTTGCAGCTTGGTCTTGGGGATTGTGTGACCTATGCGAAATACTTCAGCGATTGAAGCTTTACTTTTCTGAGGATGTAGAAAAGAAACAATAGGAAGTATTAGGAACCGAATCTGAGACATGAAACCAATATAATTAATAATTATGCTGAAGCACAAAAGCCGGCAACTTCCGGCAAATCCTCAATACGAAAAGGTCGGATCTTCTTTTGGGAAATTTTTGACTGCATTTTTTGAGTTTATCGGCAAGGCAGACATGAAATTTGAAAATGTTTTCTGGTGGATCTCTGGAGATCAGCCTTCTCTAGCTTCCTATAGTTTTATTTTTACTTTTGGACAAAATTTGAAAACGTTTTATGAAAGGTTCGTGTTATTTTTTCACGGACCTTTCATAAAACTTTTTCAAATTTTGTCCAAAAGTAAAAATAAAACTGTTGGAAGCTAGAGAAGGCTCTTCTCCAGAGATTCACCAGAAAACATTTTCAAATTTCATCTCCACCTTGCCGATAAACTCAAAAATGCAGTCAAAATGTAATCAAAATGACCTCTAAAAAGTTGTACCGCCCCAGCCACCTTTTTTTGGCTCTCCATGATCCATCCGAGTTTAATTTTTTTTTTCGTATGAGGACGTCTCACTTGCATATGCTACAAAACCACCCTGAGCTCTGCAGCGCTTTCTGAACTGAGCTCTGCTGAGGAGACAACAAGGTCAAAACAGCTAGCTGTCCGGAGATTGCCTATAGAGTGACCATGTGTAAGGATAGATATCGGCTAAATTGATATCGATGACTGTGAAGAAGAGGTCGGTGCGACTTCGGCGATACTTAGGGAATTGTGTGTCGCTTCCTTACGTGGCAGCTCGCACTTTTACTGCCGACTTGAATTCTCACTTGACTGACTCACGACTGCCACCCAGAGCACACAAGAAGTCCATCGAAGCTTCCACTTGGAAAACCTGCTAGGAAGCACCACTCCCTGCTCGTGAGTCAGTCCAGTGAGATTCAAGTCTGCAGGAAGAAAAGTGCGAGCTCCGACGTAGGGAGCAACACACAATTCCTAAAGTGATATCAGAACAAAAAATATCAAGGCAAAATGCATGTTTTTGCAGTCAAGATATCACTACAGTCAGACCTCGCTTAACCGCACACATCCGTTTTCCACGAAAAAAATATCCGGATAGGCGAGGAAACCGGACACACATACTGTATGTATGCATGGCATGTGCTGTAAATCGGTAACCGACGATTTTCTTCCGGATGGCGAGGGATCCGGATACAAGAGGAGCGGATAAGGGAGGTCTGACTGTATACTGTAGCCAGTAATCGGTTGTAGTGATAAATTATATCGGATATTACGACGGTATCCCAGAATCAGAACGTGCATATGTGTGCGTGGTTCTGTGTGTGTGCGTGTGTGTGTGTGTGTGTGTGTGGTGTGGTGTGTGTGTGTGTGTGTGTGTGTGTGTGTGTGTGTGTGTGTGGTGTGTGTCTGTGTGTCTGTTTGTGTGTGTGTGTCTGTTTGTGTGTGTGTGTCTGTTTGTGTGTGTGTGTCTGTTTGTGTGTGTGTGTGTCAGTGTGTGTGTTTGTGTGTCTGTGTGGCTGTGTCCGTGTCTCTTCATCTGGTCCAGTGTCCCATGATACAGGTAGTGAGTAGTTCACAGAAGATCTTCTTGCAACGAAGTGACCTACTGGCACATGCCTTTATCTCGGCAAGACCCGCAGCAACAGTACCGGACATGCGTTTGGTAAATCTTGTCAGAGAGTGTGTTTGGCACGCATTCTTGCTTATTACTTGTGCTGTGTTGGAAATGCACACTGAACTTACCTCTCTAGCTTGTGAAGTGGCACCTGAGATAACATCGCTTTGCGTTGTGTTTGGAAGACTCACTGCTACTATTTGGTAGATGTATTTTCCGAATCATTTCCCGTCACTGTGTATAGAGGGTTCCGTACGAACACTGTGCACTACATTTCCGGTCATGTCGGCTGTTTTCAAGGTGCTAGTTAGCACGACTTTCTGTAGTGTTTGTGATCAATTGGAATAACTTCCCGCTCTCCACTACTCGCGTGCATTCGCTGTAGCACAGCACTTTCAGGGATAGGAAAATGTCTGTAGTGCTCCTCAAGTTCTGTTCCTGATTTTTGTGTTTAATTATGTTGTTGCGTATGCAGAATAGCTACCACTTAGCAGTCAGCAATGTTGAGGATAGCTCCAAGACACAGCTGACTTGCCACCAACTCTTCCAGTAAGCAATACAGTATGTATAGTGTCCGGTTATCTCCTTTATACTCGTAATAGATATTGCGCACAAAAGGCACAACGGAGGTTTGTAGAGTTTGTCGCAGCTAAATTGTACTGACAGACAGTACGCGCTATGTTCCATTTTGAATTTCCCACCACGTAAAACATACCGTATTTCCGCGCATATAAAGCCATGGCGTTATATCCGAATATAAGGCCACCCTCACTTATAAAGCCATGGCGTTATAAGTGAACAAAATTCAATGTGGAGGAAGTTGCATCTGGCGTTAAAGGTGAGTTCAATTCTTTCAGTGAACGTACAGTAGCGGTGATTCTCTCTGCATGTACCTATCCCCACTGTCACATGCCATACCGCCACCGCACCTTCAGGCTTCACACAAGTTTCCATGCCACCTTGTACACAATAGGTTCACATTTTGAAATTTTCAGGGAAAATTGAAAGTACATGGATGCTCGACATGAACGTGCAACGGCACCGTACGAGTACTTGAAGTTCATGCTCTGCCGATTTTTTTGCATGTACGCGTCTCTCACTTTTAGCGCCATGGCGTTAAAACCGAGTCTATTTTCTCCAAAAATTTGGTCCAAAACAGCGATGTTTCACCTATAACACCATGGCGTTATATGCGCGGAAATACGGTATATAATAGTGATGATACTGGTGTGGAGAGCAAAGTTCCAGGCTAGCTCCACTTACCGCCGGAAACTCAGTCTTTAAGTCAGCCTCTGTGCTAGACACTGAGTTGATGCGGAACAATGATGGCCAGTCAAGACGAAGACGGTGCAACCAGTTACGACCGAGTAGGGGATGGCTACCGCCCTTCACGACCACAATGGTGTCTGTGATGGATTGCTCACCGTACGCAACCTTGACCACCGTCTCTCCTACCACTGGTAGCGAACTGCCATCATAGGTGATGAGTTGCAGCTGGGACCCTGTAAGCGGAACATCACTCCAGGACTGTTCCCACACATGTTCGGGTACAAGAGCAACTTTGGCGCCTGTGTCCACTTTCATCCTCAGTGGATGTTTGTTGACGGACACGGACACAAACAGAGAGTCTGACTCGTTCAAAGATGTGACTTTCCCAATAGCGTAGGACGCATTCTGTACAGACTTCCACTGCTGAGATGCTGGTGCGCTGGGTGCTGAAGGTGCACTAGCGACTTGATGCGCACCACCTCCTCTTCCTCTCCTTCCAGTCTTGGACGACCTGGACGTCACTTGTTTCCTACACTTGCGCTTATAGTGGCCTTTCTTATGGCAATTGAGACCTTCCTTGCCACGTGCAGGGCAGCTAGCAGAGTCTGCTGAGTGGTCCGAAAGACCACAATTGCTACATTCTCCTCCGGGTGGAGCACTTGAGTACGTTGGTGTCCTAGTGGGGAAACAGGACGGACAGGAGCTGGAGCACTGCGCGATTGAGATATTCCTCGAGCGCTAAGTTCAGTTGCCTCGAACTGCCTGGACACCTCCAGAGCATCCTTGAGTTTGAGAGTGCCTTGTTTCTCCAGAAACTTTCGACGTAAACGATCATCAATGCACTTCTCTACAAGCTGGTCACACACTTGCTCATCCAGGTCAGCAAACGAACAGATCTTTGCTTGTTGAACCAAACGGTTTCCAAACTGGGCTACAGTCTCTGTCTCCAGTTGCGCCAGTCGGCGGAAAGTACGTCGTTCAAACATTACATTTGGAGTGTTTGGAAGTGCGAATCCAACATAGTGACTACTTTGTCGTAAGGACTCTGGACAGAACCATCCGTCGGAGCTGGAGGTTCCGGGAGCGTGTCAAACACGTCCTGGACAGCGGGACCAGCAAGATGTAACAGTTTTGCTCTCGACCGTGTCGAATTGGTGATACCCTCTGCATCAAGTTAGTATTGACAACTGCGTTTCCACGTCGCCCAGCAAATGGATACATCTTGAGCAGGGCCAGTAGGATTAACCTGAGGTACTGGGCGTTCTGCCATTGCGGATTACAAAAAAACTATCTTCATCGCCAGTGTTATATTCGCCAGAATAAGGTTGACAGAGAACTACATGAGCAAGAGCACAATTTATTACATCTATACTTCGGAACGACAAGCAAAGGAACTATTAATTCGAAATCAGAAAACCAATAACTGACATAGCTGGCGTACAGGCCAGCGGTCGCTGGCAGAGTACGCGCTTTACTTCAAACACTGCAGTATAATGACATACACATGGCAAGGCAGTTGACAGCAGAGTACAGTCACTACAGTGCATGCATGTATAACCAAGAGTACATAACCCCCCAGAGTGTGCAACGCCTGATCCAGCTCTGCATAGGGTCTTGGTCGAGCGGAATCGGATCTTTGCGTCATAATACCGTACACATCTGAGGGGAACCCGGGGAGTCGCGGGTACTCTCGGATCAAAAACAATGATGCCCTGCCTCGAGACCGGCCTTGCGCTGGTGTGGAGTGTACGCATGACATCAGAAGATCCGATTCCGCTCGACCAAGACCCTATGCAGAGCTGGATCGGCGTTGCACACTCTGGGGGGTTATGTACTCTTGGTATAATGTGTAGTACACACAGAGCAGCGTATGGCGTACAGATCATGTACAGACAGACTATCGATTCAAACATAACAGTGCCTGGGACAGGAATTTATCATGTGTGCGTATAACGAGAGAGCTTGGAAGCTTAGGGCCCTACGCTATGCTTTTTTGCCTAGCCCATCCTGCTTTTGCTCCCCGAGCTTGTGTATGTAAATAGTGTTTTACGTCGACCATGACGGCTACAATGCCCAACCATACCACAACGAACTGATCGGCTACATCATTGTATTGCAAAAAGTTTCCATCTGTTCGAATAACATGCATGATGAGCTAGGCAAAAAAAGCATAGCGTAGGGCCCTGAGCGAAAGAAATAACTTTCTCTTTGCATTCGAGGGTAACACGACACCGTCTACCACCTTGATGACCTAGGCAAAAAAAAGCATGGGGATGTTATAAATTTTTCATTTCTCCTATTTTTTTAAGACATAACCTAGGATTCGAACCCGCACTATCGCCTTGCATGCATTCTCCCGATACATTTTGCATACATACTCATTCTTCCAAGTTACTTCACGCTATGATCTTGCATTTGAAAGCCCTATTTGAATACTGTGGCCAGCTGTCTTTGATGGTACGGTACGGGACAGGTACGGGATACCCGGATACCACCCGGCATGCCGACGGCACAAACACACAAAAACACGGAATTAAAGCTGTGTGGACCCTGGCTGGCGCCAGCCGTTACTGAGGCAACGTCTTTTGCATAGTTACGGGAATAAATATGTCCCAACTGCCTAGTGTTGTGATGATAGTGATGTATTAGAAACCCACCAGTTCTGGTGGTGATTGTGTGGGTGTTATGGTGGTTGCATGGGTGTTATGGTGGTTGCATGGGTGTTATGGTGGTTGCATGGGTGTTATGGTGGTTGCATGGGTGTTATGGTGGTTGCATGGGTGTTATGGTGGTTGCATGGGTGTTATGGTGGTTGCATGGGTGTTATGGTGGTTGCATGGGTGTTATGGTGGTTGCATGGGTGTTATGGTGGTTGCATGGGTGTTATGGTGGTTGCATGGGTGTTATGGTGGTTGCATGGGTGTTATGGTGATTGTGTGGGTGTTATGGTGGTTTCATGGGTGTTATGGTGGTTGCATGGGTGTTATGGTGGTTGCATGGGTGTTATGGTGGTTGCATGGGTGTTATGGTGGTTGCATGGGTGTTATGGTGGTTGCATGGGTGTTATGGTGGTTGCATGGGTGTTATGGTGGTTGCATGGGTGTTATGGTGGTTGCATGGGTGTTATGGTGGTTGCATGGGTGTTATGGTGGTTGCATGGGTGTTATGGTGGTTGCATGGGTGTTATGGTGGTTGCATGGGTGTTATGGTGGTTGCATGGGTGTTATGGTGGTTGCATGGGTGTTATGGTGGTTGTATGGGTGTTATGGTGGTTGCATGGGTGTTATGGTGGTTGCATGGGTGTTGCGTTGATCTTGCGCTGTTGTGTTCGTGTGTGGTGGATTTGCACAGGGCGTACCACAGCCAGATGATGTCCGCCGCGGTGTGCAGACTTGGACGAACTGCCGACAGTGAGTGGTTGCATCTTGTCTGTTTTATATTTAGAACTGTCTTCGTTAGGTTGTGTATTTTACTATTACCTCTCAGAGCTCTTGTACACTAGTAATCTATTGTAGTTGCTAGGTAATGCTGTACATGTATAGGCGTTCTTGTACCTCCTTGCCTTGTCTCTCACTTTCTTTCAGACTCCTACATTCAGAGATCAGCTATGGCAATGACAATCAGTACGGTGACCTTTCAGCTCCTCACACCGCCTCTGAACCATGTGGTTAGTGATGAGTGCTTACTGTCAACATGGCTCCTGATGATGGGCCTTGCCCGAAAATTTGAGCTAATGTATATCAATTGCAGTGTAGCCTAGAGACCGTTAGAGAGAGAGTGTGTACAGGATGTATGGATGGCTAGTCAGAAGCATTGTAATCCTTGAATACATGTCAAGTGATGGTAATGCCTCATTTGATTTTATTTTTATTTTATTTAACCCTCCAATGGCACAAGCCAATGCAAAGGAGGGGACGTTAGCCAGCCATGGCAAGAGAAGGAAAAAGAAAGAAATAAAGAACATAATTAGGGGCCGTCCGGGGTTACCGATAGTTTTTGCAAAACGAAAAGTTTTAGTATTTTTCAGCACCCACCTACCCACCTACCTTTTCTGCAGGTAAAACGAATTCCAATAAAATATTGATGTCAATTTTCGACACCCAGAAGTAACTGGACATTCTCCATCTGCATTCAATAATTATTTTCAAAACGAAACTCCTTCAAACCCACCCACCCCCAAACGAAAACTTTTCGTTTTGAAAATGCTATTGGTAACCTTGGACGGCCCCTTATCGGAAGAAAATAGCACATACAATTCACTTTGCCATGGTGAAGGATTAGAATACAGCATGAAAACCGAAAAGGAGAACAATTGTATGGCATAATAAGTTTGAGAGAGTTGAAAACAGGTAAGACTGAGAAAAGGTGACTATCACCACCAGGACTCGAACCAGGGAAGTATGTACATGTACAGTCATGTATATACAGTAGAGAGGTTCCGCACAACGTAATTACGTTAGTAACAAACGTACTCTACGTAGACAACTTTCCGTACGTGGAGTGCAAGCTCGCGAATTTGCGAGTTTTCCCACTCACTTGCGTAAAGCTGCTCAACTTTACGTAGCACGGAACCTCATTCAATCTCGGATGTCATAGTGCATGTCCGGTCACTTCTGTGCGAATCGTGATTTTGTCAGGTTTTGCTAGATAGCCGTGCATTGAATGGTTCTGATTGGCTGGGGATCAGGCTGACTTCTTCATTGATAGAGAAGACTGTACCATTCAACTGAGATCACTGTTTCGATTGTGTTGCAGGTCAAGACGAGAGTGCAGAACTCGCAGGCAGCCAGCTCCGAAGGAGGAGTGCAGGACTCGAAGGAAGGCGCCTTCGCCATGTACAACTATGCACGTCTCCACACGCTGTTCGCCAATTTCGAGAAGGCCGTGGCTGCAGGTAAGCGCTTTGTGGCTAGGGGGTGTGTCTGCTCTCATGCTCCAAGAACATTATCTTCTGTCTTCAGTCTAATACTGAAGTACCAGGGACCAGGGAGTTGAACGACTCCTTGTTCTTGACCTGCCCGGTACGCGAACCCGTCGAATTTTTTCAGTCTAATATCGCTGTGTGTACAGTGTACACTGTACAGTAGAACTGCCCTTATCCGGCCATGTTGGGATCAGGCACTGAAAGTAACTAGGAATTGCCCATACGTACTGATTGCATGCAAGTAACAACTTTTTTTATGCCTGCAATATTTTTTGGTGCCGTTTTGCATTGAAAAGCCAATACATTTCTGACTAAAGAGGGGTCACAAAGGTGCATAGTACACGGGAGTGCACAGTGCATGGGAGTGCCCGGATTAGGGGTGGTTTGCTATGTGCATGTAGTTACCACGTATTCTCCAAGTTGAATTTATCTTTTGTACACATACCGAAAAACATCTCTTTCAGGATGACTCCTGACATTTCGGGAGTCGCTCTTGTGATCACTTCAGCAGGTTTCACTCCACTTCCGAATTCAGTTGATTGCTCTCTCTCTCTCTCTCTCTCTCTCTCTCTCTCTCTCTCTCTCTCTCTCTCTCTCTCTCTCTCTCTCTCTCTCTCTCTCTCTCTCTCTCTCTCTCTCTCTCTCTCTCTCTCTCTCTGTCTCTCTCTCTCTCTGTCTCTCTCTCTCTCTCTCTTCTCTCTCTCTCTCTCTCTCTCTCTCTCTCTCTCTCTCTCTCTCTCTCTCTCTCTCTCTCTCTCTCTGTCTCTCTCTTTCTCAATCTATCTGCTCATTGCTCACAGGAACATATCCACCTCTACCAGCGCTTGATGAGATCGACTTCACGCTGCTAACTGATGAGGTAATTATTGCCTTCGTTTCGCGTCTTTACATTCCCTAGAACATGCTGCCTGCTACCGGACATGGCTTATTCTCAGATGGGGTTGAAGAAGCGGATTGACTTGGAATGAACCAGGTTGGAGGCGGATGTTCATGCAGTGGTGAAATGTAGCATGTGTTATAGACGGTGTGCACAATGATGACGTCTGTACAAACTACAAAGTACGTCCAAACCTGTAGGACGAAATGCGTGTTGCACTGGTTTTAGATCTGAAAAGCATTTTAAAAGAGAAGAGAAGATAATAGGCCATTCACACGACGTGTAAACATTTGCACATGTGTGACCAAGATAACACTGGCAAACCGTGATCCAGTTCACACGGTGCTGGGCAAACTTTGCAACCGTCAATGTATCCATAGTGACCTGAAAATGCCGGGAAATGTTCAATTTTGAATTTTTCATGGTTCAAGCACTGCATTTGCAGTACGCACTTTCAACAACCGACACTTTTCCTGGCGTGCAAAGATAATCGCGAGCAAAAGGGCCTCGGCCAAGATAAAAAATCAGTTGCACGCGTGTGTCCAAGTTTATCGTATCCGAGTAAATATCCTTGGAAACAGTACGATAAAAGTAAGTTTGCCCGTCGTGTGAATGGCCTATAAGGGTGAAAAGGCTGTACAAGGCTGAATACTGCTACAGTGCTGCTCAATGAAATCCAGTCGCGTCACTCAACTGTGCACCTTGTCGTCCACATGTATCAAAGGAGGCGAAATCGCCTGTTTGTGGTGCGACGTTAAATAAACTTCTACAACAACCTTGCACCCTTTCGCAGCCCAGTGTTCGCCGGTATAGGGATGCCCAACGCACAGCGCGTTCGAAGTGTGTATGGATGACATCACCATGGCACTGGGCACACCGTCTACTGCTGAAACTGTTAAAGCCTGCAGCTCTCAGCCTTAGTCCGCTGATAATGGCTCCCGTTACTGTAGTGCTGCTCGATGAAATCTGAGCCGGTAAATCCAGTTTGCGCCCTGCAGCTTTTTATACGCCAGTGTTTGCAGGTCTCCTAGTAGGGCTGTACAGCGCCCGGCGTGGCATTGGCTTGCTTGATCAGATTTCCTTGAGCAGCACTGTGCTATGATGCTGTGTACTCTGGTCAATATTCCATATTGCCGTTGGGCCATGCAAACGTGCATTTCTTTGGCTTCTGTCCTGTTCTGGCCAGGCTGAATGGCAGCTACTGCTGACTGGAGTTGCCGGCTATGCAGATTGCCTGCTGGAAGTGTTCCCTGGTGATGACATGTACACTGCCTTGCAGTGTGCGGATGGACTCTATGTCCAGTGCTCGCTGAATAAGGTAACGTTGTACAACACACCCTTTCTGAGCTTTTTGAACTTTTTTCTGCTAAAGCTCTTTGTTGTTTCAGAACCTTTGCTGGATTGAACATTGTAAATATTATGGTTCACACAATACTCAATACTCAACAGAGAACATTCACGGTAAAAACTTTCAGAACCAAAACAAGAAGACCGACAACCGAAAGAACAAGCACAGAAACTACGCATGCACACACTACTGTACGCAGCACGTGCCAAGTCAATAAATATTGACTTCCAAAGTACTTCAAGTACAGATACTACAGTAAGAACATGAACAGTTGCCCTCGGAGACAAGAATACAATGATACTTTCAAATTCGTGCGCAAACCGCTCCCACATGCAATTGACCCCGCTACACTCTGTGATGATATCGACAGCACTCTGGAGCCTCTTCCCAAGTCAGCTGATGTCAATGCACAAGTCACCCAGCTTTCACACTGTATTACTCGAGTTTTAGACAAACATTCACCGATCTGCCCCGTGGTCTCACCAGCTTTCAGTAAACCGAAGCCTCAGCCATGGGTGACACCTCAGTTGAAACACCTCCTCCAGCAACGAATCCACCTACATAGAAAAGTACGCACTCACCCGTCAGATCAACAGCTTCTGCAGAGGTATCGTGCAATACGGCGAGAAGGCACTCTCCTCAACAGGCAGCTGAAGTCACAGTATTACATCAGAGAGTTCAAAAATCGTCGCCACGACCCACGAGGCCAATGGGCCATTATCAATAGCTTGTCTGGTAGAACAGCAGTGAGGGCTGCCCCAGCAGCCACACTCGCCGATCTGACAACTACCTTCGCCGAGATCGTCCATGACCCTGCCAGACCAGTCGAGCTGCCCCTACCCGTTGCAGACCCCAATAGCACTACTCTTTTGGAGTTTGATACCGTCAGCGTCGATACCATCTCCAAGTTGCTTGAATCTCTGGTATCCAACAAAGCCACCGGCTCCGATGATATTCCGTCCTGCATCCTGAAATCCTGCAGAGATTCAGTCTCGTATCCGTTAACTGTTATCGTCAACCAGTCTCTTCGCTCTGGCATCTTTCCTGCTGCCTACAAACATGCCCATGTCTGCCCTGTTTACAAATCTGGTGATAAGACCTCAGCCACCAACTACAGGCCAATCTCACTGTTGCCTATCGCGGCCAAGATCCTAGAGAAGGTTGTCCACAAGCAAGTCACTTCGTATTTCACCCAGAATCCAGACCTGTCAGCCATACCAGCTGAACAATTTGCGTACCGCTCACACCATAGCTGTGAGGATGCCCTGACACTTTGCATAGACAGATGGAACAGAGCACTTGACAACGGTGACCAATGCGGAGTAGTCTTTGCGGATATGAGCAAGGCGTTTGACCGTGTGCAGCACACAGGTCTGCTGGGAGAGCTAGCCACCACTGGCTTAGGCGGCACTGTCCTCAAGTGGTTCTCAGACTATCTCACGAACCGCAGCCAGCAGGTTACTGTCAATGGTGAGAAGGGTGACACCAAACCCTGTACAAGAGGGGTCCCCCAGGGGTCTGTTCTTGGGCCTTTGCTTTTCTGCGTCTACATTCGCCGGGTACCCGATATATTTCACCAGAGTGTCGTGCAGCTGTACGCTGATGATATTGCGTTCTACGTATTCGGCTCTGATGTGGCTACAATTATGCTACGCTTGCAGGATAGTATGCGGTTGCTAGAGCAATACCTTGATGAGAAAGGCCTTCTGCTCAACCCCACTAAAACACAGTTCATGTTGATACGGCGTCCTGCCCTGCCTGCACTGAGCCCAGCCCTGTACCTGACCTGTAAAGGTATTGTCCTTTCCCCTGTCTCTACTGTGAAATACCTCGGTATACTAATCGATGAGCATCTAACGTTCCGCCCACAAGTAGAAAAGGTGTGTTCAGTGGTCTTCGCTAAACTAGCCTGTTTTGCTCATGGCCGTCGCAATTTATCAGCTACAGCTCGGAGAACTTTCTTCTTGTCAATTATACAGTCTACTCTAGAATATGCAAGTAATGCGTATGTGCACTGTTTGAAAACTACCCTATATAACAGGCTTGTAACGGTCAGCCATATTGCGATGAAGAAGGCATTTGGTTTAGATAGAATGACCCCAACTGCATTAGTTTTACAACGGTGTCATCTGTATTCGTTTGAGCAACGAGTTAATTTGAAACTATACGTTTTGGTCTATCGCTGCTTGTCATCAATTACTAGCCCCCTCCTTCAGTCACTGTTTCTCCTGCGTTCAGTTGGCCCGCACACAAATGCTCGTACTCGTGGCCAGGATACAGCTGCCTTAGTATTACCTACTGTACATATTGGGTATGGACTGCGCTCAGTTTCTTTTCTGGCGGCAGGTCGGTGGAACACTCTTCCTCCAAACTGTCGTCAGGCACAATCTGCTGGTTCTTTTGCTCACCTCACAAAGATTCACCTAGGGTTCCCTGTAACAAGGCCATGCCTGTTGGGACTCCCCTAGTCAAATAATAAATACTACTACTACTACTACTATACTGAGACTGGTACTGAGAATGGTGCTGAGAAGGACACGCTTCACATGCCTGTATTTCACCTGATGATAAGGCATGGAAGTATACTAGTGAAAACTTTCAAGATGTTCAAGAGCCTGAAGTGACGCCCTCGATTTAGGCTAAGGCCTGTGTAGAATCCATAAAACAAATACAAATACAAATCAAAATACGAAGTGTGTCCTTCTCAATATCATTGTAAGAAGAAGAAGTTCTGGTAATGGATTGCAGGAAACCTTGTCTCTCAGGCCAGAGGGCTGCAACACAGGATAGTCCTTGAAGGCAGGTTGGGTTGCTCAAGGAGAACGCTGCAGAGCTTTCCCACACACACACGGTCCAGTGGAATGAAGTGCGTACCCACTCGAGTTTCCTGCTTGGCGCAATCATCAGAAGGCCGATAATCAGCAGAATATACAGTGGACTTTATCACGCACACTTTCTGGGTCTCGAGGTAGCTAATGCTCCTTGCTCGGAGAGTGAAGCGTCAAGAAGATATTTGAACCACTATCCGGTCATTGGGGAGAGCATGGAAGACATTTTTGTTATCAATTGCCTTGGCTTTGATATTGCAGGATCCACAGTGCTTTCTCAATGGCCTAGGTAACAGAATGTTATCCTCACTCTGTGCTGTGCTGTGCTGTGTTGGGTGGCCTGCAGGTGTGTGTGTTCCTTGCGTCGTTCTGCCGTGACCTGAGTTCATACTACAGCCGTGTGCATGTTCTTGAGGTTAGTCCTCCCTGTGCCTTCTACGTATAATACAGTCAGACCTCGCTTTACCGCACACATTCGTTTTCCACGAAAAAATATCCGGATAGGCGAGGGAACCGGATAATCGAACACACAAACTGTATGTATGCATGCCATATACTGTAAATCGGTAACCAACGATTTTCTTCCGGATGGGGACGGATCCGGATAAAAGAGGACCGGATAAGTGAGGTCTGACTGTACAATGTACTAGCCAGCACAGCCTAACTGGAAGCAATGACAGTGAACTATAGAAATAATTGAGAGGGAGGTGCGGTGATGAGCAGTAGATGCTATGCACTAGTGTGCGAGACACGTCCGACCAGAAGTCATAGGTATATCACGGTATTAAGAAAGGCATAATAGGAGGAGGAAAGAGAGAGGGGGGAGAGAGTGAGTGAGTGAGAGAGAGAGACAGAGAGACGAGAGAGAGAGAGAGAGAGAGAGAGAGAGAGAGAGAGAGAGAGAGAGAGAGAGAGAGAGAGAGAGAGAGAGAGAGAGAGAGAGAGAGAGAGAGAGAGAGAGAGAGAGAGAGAGAGAGAGAGAGAGAGAGAGTGAGTGAGTGAGTGAGTGAGAGTGTGAGTGTGAGTGAGAGTGTGAGTGAGAGTGTGAAAAGTGAGTTAGAAAGAGAGAAAGAGAGAAAGAGAGAGAGAGAGAGACAGAGAGAGAGACAGACAGAGAGAGAGAGAGAGAGAGAGAGAGAGAGAGAGAGAGAGAGAGAGAGAGAGAGAGAGAGAGAGAGAGAGAGAGAGAGAGAGAGAGAGAGAGAGAGAGAGAGAGAGAGAGAGAGAGAGAGAGAGAGAGAGAGAGAGAGAGTGAGAGGCAGGCAGGGAGCAGGAAGAATGGAGGGGAGCAGTCATATGTAGATATATGTTGCTGTGATCTCTGTAACATATTTTATGAACTACATTGTAAGACCTACTGACTTCACCGTCTTTTGTGTGTCTCCAGGAGCCATCACCACATCGTTTCCCTGTCATATTTGCCCGACTGTATTTGCTACAAGCATGCCAGAAGGTACAGAGCTTCCCCTTTGTCGTACTTACCTTGCCTAGCCCACTATTGTATTTCAGTTTTCCCCAGCTCGCAAGCACTGGAATACACGCGTATTCACTCACGCGGTGCCACTCACGCCTGCTGCGTGTATCAAATTCATCCATTGGACATAGTGTAGTCAGTCCTGTTTGATGATTGCTTTTGCACTGATGAAACTCTGCGTGACGGCTGACCAACAGACCAATCAAATCGGGCTGATGATAAAACAGTAGTATATACACGAGTTCCAGTTGAATCCTAAAATCCTAATTTTGGCTAGTTTGGGAAGCTGTTGAAGGTTGATGCTTCAGGCTTTCAGGTCACAGTTTTCGCGGTTTCTTTTTCATCAACTCGGCCTCGCGTTTGGCAGTCAGACTTGCCGAATCGTACGAGTCGAAATATTTCGAAATTCTGATTCTCGCCTTGAGCTCGTCTTCTACACTTTGGCCAATGTGGCCTCTTTTTACCTTGTGGAAATGTCAGCGGAAAGATATAGAGATACTCTTTTCCAGTGGTCTGAGGATTGTCTTAGCTTTGCTACGTGCATGAAACGCAGCGTTACAACAATGACCTAGTCAGTTGTCTCTGTTCTCTTCTGCCTTTGAAATGCCCTTCGTATGTGTGCCGTCGGAGGTCTGGTTGTGTGTAGACAGCCTAATGTTTGAGATGACCTATCTCCAAATACAGGTGATTTTGTTTTTGCACTAGTTGCTTATTGCTAGGATTTTGCCTGAGGATTGCTTTGCTTGCAAGTTGAGTTGCAGATCAAACCTCGTTCTGACGTCTATAGTAGAAAGCTCCCCCCCCCCCCCCCCCCCTGGGTTTTCGACCGCTGTGTGAGCACTGGCTTTAGTCTACATCAAGTACATAGATGTAAGGCTTGATTCACAGTAAGTGGGGTGCGGCGAAATCCAACTGATGCTAGCGTATGTCCATGTTATGTGCTCTTCTCTGTACTGTGCAGGTCCTTGCCAATGCACTTGGCTTGTTGAAAATTGAGACGTTCGGCGTGTTATGATCAGCCGTTATCATCCCAATGCCTCCGACCGATCTGCTTACACTCCGCAGATTTCCACGTCAGCAGTCATTCCATGTAGACAGTGCCACTTGGAAAAAGATTTGAGTTTGGCACGAAGAGCGTGCTGCCCACCATTTCATGCACGGAGTACTGGGTGGATTAGTAGACTCTGCCGCTATCTTGGTTTTGCAGATGTGCAAACTGCAAACCATCCAAATGAGATTCTTCCTTCAAAAGAATTATCTGTAGATCTGGTAAGATCTTGTATTTCGACAATTCTACGTGGATCACCGATCAATGTGCCTTACTTCATCGTGGCATGTTCTCTTGCAGTGATTTGAAATGCTAGAAATTTGAGTACGCTGCACCGGGTGCACCGCGACGCACGGAGAGTCGGCAGTCAACCAACATGCCACACAGGTTTATTCAACTTGATTGGATTTTGTGATGTTTCAAGGCCTGGTGTTGCCCTGGCCACTGACTTATTTATTTTACGAAGTATTTTCTATATCATCCATTGACTTTGTCAAGTCCACTGAGAAGTTTATACCGGTACATCTAGTACATGTACTAGTAGGCGATGGAACTGGACATACCGGTACATGTACTAATGGTAACGTTGTGTGGCGGCTTGTCCCGTTATTATTGTACAGAGATCATAGACGTCTACAAAATTAATTTTAATGATCACAACCAGCTAGCGAGCAGTACAATAGCACCTGTATACATGACTGTATTGATTTTGTTGTACTACTCCCTGGGTACAGCCAAGAGTACGAGGGTCTGGCCTGGCGAACAGGCCACTGCACTGCTACCAAGAGTCCATAACCCCATCATTCGGCCCATGGACTCTTGCTGCTACTAATACCATAAGTAGCAAAATACAGATACAAAGATAGCCTCCATTGGCATTGTCCGCCGTCATGCACCAGGTGTTCGGTTCTAGACTCAAGTGAAGACATGTCGACAGTGAAGTGCTGGTCCGCTGACACTGTCGATTACAATACAGTCATGTACTTGAGGCCATCATGGGTGAATGGTTCGATGGATAGCTTTGTCTCCTTCACAGTACACCGTGCATGTGTACGTATACCGGCTGAGTGTGCCAGGCACTGGCAGATAAGAGCAACACGCGGCTTAGCGCCTGTGTGGCAGTGTGCCCAGTGCTTTTCAACCCGGCGGGGATCGGGAAACGGAGCGGAACTGTTTTTAATTAAAACACAGCAGCCATTGCTTCAGTCGTATTCAGCATACAGTACCGGTACACTGCCGATATGTCGATTCGTGGTAGCAGCACGGCATACTCATAACTGTACTGTCACAGTTTGACCGTGTCAGTCGTTAAAACCGCCGGTTTGACGGTCCTCCCTACATCATAGTACATGTTATAAGTCGTTCGCCGGACGTTCTGACTGCAGATAAAACCACAGCACGGTGTCAGTCGTCTTTCATGAACCGAACCATTGCGAACGGCCAATCTTGAAACAATGTTTAAACTTTTAATGACTTTTGTATTCATTCCTGGTTGCTGTAGTTGTTGCTCTAGTGACAATGTCTTCAACGATTCGAAGTTTCAGTAGGCGCAGACAGGGTTGTGGTGTAACTGCCAAAGGAGGGGTCACTAAGTCCGCAGCAAGTATTAGTTTCTGCAGGAAGATATCAATCGCCACCTGCATGGCTGAGTCTGAGGGACATAACGGTAACAGGAACGAAGCCCGAAGTTGCCTTCTACTTTTCTGGTGAAACACCTGTGTTCCGAACTTCGGCATACTACCGTATGTAACTAACGTTATACAATATGACTGTACGATGTCTGTACTGTACAGCCATGTTGTGTTTATTGGAAAAAGTGCGAAGAGATTGATGTTTTCCCAGCATCATGGGTGTCATGTAGGCATTGGCGGATAATGCTCGAAAAGGTGGCAGATTCTGCTCGAAAAGCAGTTGTTGTTGTTGTTGTTGTTTATTTATTTTACATCGCATGGCAAACGGGCAGTTCTGCCCAATATTATGAAAGCGATGACAACCAGTTAAGAGTCAGAAATGAAGAAAAAATAAATGAAAATAAAAATACGAAAACGGAAGTAGCAATGAGGGGAGGCAGGGTCAAGACGAGCAGAAAAAATGGATCTCAAATTTACAAGTCGGGTCATCGTAGCATGATTCTATCGCAGTGAAATTGGCAGAACCATACAAACCTTATGGCCGGGCAATTCCTCGAATTCTGCTCCATTTCTTTATCCTCATACCAAACATGCATGAAACTTACCAGAAAAAGTACCGAATTCTGCCAATTTTTCTGCCGGCATTATCCGCATATGCCTAGTGCCATGCCGTGGTGGCACGCACTAACCGGTAACCGTAACATCAAGAGTCCATAACCAAATAAATGGGTTATGGACTCTTGGTAACATGAATGTATCAGCATCACTACACGCTACACGGTAGTCAGAAAAATCCATTTCCGTAATCGGAAAGATGATTAGAAAAATGCGGTAGCTGCATACTATCTCGTCCTGCTGTTGTTGCTAGCTGTACATGGGTGACGGGCTCAGCTGACCAGTCGAATAGTCACGGTCCTCCCGGATCGATCCCAGACACTTGTCTAGCTATACCGGAAACGTCTACTCCTGGTACGTAGACGGATCTACCTTGTAGTGCTATGATTCCTGAGAAATAGTCTGAAAAAAAAGCGCCACTACCAGTAATACACACCATGCATTAGCGGTCCTCACACGCTGAATGAACATCACACGCTCAAGACTTGTATCTACACACACTACGCTTATCGCTACGGCAGGCACCGGCTGCTGCGATTCACACGTTTACTTTGTGGGTAAAACCAGCATCCAGATATGTGTCTCATTACTACATTAGTGTTCTCTGATGATCGCCTTATGACTGAGTAAAACTAGTAGTTACAACCTCTTCTTGTTGTTGCTATGTAGATTATCTATACTGTACAGTGTACATGTACATGATTTTACAGTCATGTACTTGTAGAGTTTGCAGCAAAATTATATACTTACATGACTTGTACTTTGACATAGCAGACTCAGCGGAGGACGTTCAGGTTGGTTGTAACTCTGAGTTTCATGCCGTTAGGCAATCATCAGACAACTGATTAGTTAGGCAATCACCAGACAACTGAGTTGTCTGATGATTGCCTAACGGCATGAAACTCAGAGTTACAACCTGTGAGTGTGAACCAACCTGAACGTCCTCCGCTGAGTCTGCTATGTACATGTACTGCTCTGTCTCTGACATTGAGCACTCTCTGCAGCTCGGGGATCAACGGATCATGGTGTACTTACTTTGACAGATTACTCAAGACGGACATGCTGTTGAAAAGTAAATGAAAACCGATAACACTAACAAGGAGTAAGGTGGAGGCCCGGACCACCGTGCTCGGAAACTAGTACTACCTACGATCACGGTGAGTTGACAGCGAAGGTAGACGGGGCAACCCTACCCGGCAGTCGTGTGCTGCACTGTGCGCAGGAGTGTCTCGACTTGAGAAGTGGTGGATAAGTGGTAACAGCTGCTGAAAGGTGCCTCACACGCTGAGTGCAGAGCATTTCACACGCGGACGTGGAAGACTCAAGAGATCCAGATCACTCTTATCTGATTCTAAAATAGGGGTCGTCCATAAATATCGAACTTTTTTCACAAAACGAAATATTAAATTTCGTTATGGGGTGGGAGGGGGTTGACCAATTTCGTTTCAGGAAACATTGATCCATGTACATGGCCGTTGTATATGCATGCATGTCAACATTTTTTTACGTTCTGAGGGGGGAGGGAGGGAGGGATTGGGTCTAAACTGAAATAATTCATTTGGTGAAAAAAGTTCGATATTTACGGACGGCCCCTTACTTCGATTGTAGTTGCAACTCAGCCTCTCAGTCTCAGGGCTTCATTTGTCATGCTTGTTCATGTGACCTTACGTACATGTAGCATCAGATAACTGCTATGCTGCATATGCATATGCGCATGATGAGTTGCTTGATGATTGCTACATAACAAGCACAGTAGTAGTACATGTAGTAGATTTTATTAATATTATTTTACTAGGGGAGTCCCAACAGGCGTTGCCTTTTTACTGGGAACCCTAGGTGAACTTTTGCCATGTTTACATACAGAGTAAGAGACGGGGCCTGACGGCAGTCAGTGGGAAGAGCATTCCATCTGTCTGCCGCCAGGAAAAGCATGAAACACGAACATTGCCTGATATTACAATGTATGTAATTGCTACAAACATACCAGCTCAAAGCATGACACTCCGAGGTGCAACTACATGTACATACATGTACATGCAATTGTTAGAATGAAACAAGGTGGAGGACACCGTCAGGCTGTGTTCGAAAACAGTGACCTTACTACAACCTTCCGCGGTTGGCAGAGCCCCGGTCCCTGCGGACCATTTTGGCATTTGAACCATATGGGTATCGCACCGATTGTAGTGTTACCATGGTTACTGCAACCGCTACGTACGTGAGCCCTAGGCTATGACCATCATTAGACATTACCGGACACAATGACTCGGTAGTTCAACCAGAGAGTCGTATAAACCCGGATGCTATACGACTCCCTGGCCTGGTTGAACTAAATGCGAGAGCAACAATATAACTTCAAACCACAAAGGACGACACAGTTCTGTCCGCACGAAAACACAACAACGCTTTCAAAATGGAAAGGAGGAATCGGGCAGTCAGCTCAGCTGTACAACTAAACTAACGTGTTATGTGTTCAATGACACAGTCATGTCATCACATGTGACTGGCATGAATGGATCAAAAATTCAAAAACAAAAAAATACAGTACTTTCGCTTGAAGTAAGTCAGTCGCGGTAGTGCTTTGCCAGACTGCCCTGAGTCATTCCCCCACTTCAAGCACTTGGTGTCAGGCAGTGTAGTCTTCAGTGCCAGGCAGTGGTCGCACCGTGTAGATCTACCGTCGAGGAGACTGGCTTGGGCAAAATCTGACTCTCCGGGCTCGGACACAACACAGACTGCACTGGGTGTGCAACACTGTTCATGCAGTCGCTAGGAGTTGGGCCTGTAGGGCCCAGTAGGGGTTGTTATCAGGTAGATCGATCTACCTGGCTGTAGTAAAAAGTAAACAAAATAAAAATAGAGCTTCACACGATCGTATAATTACATGTATGTGACTACGGCCGGAAACACGTAATAACTGGAATACTAGTACTCGAGCATCTCGTGTCGTGACTTTTCCAGGCCAATCTCGAGAGAGATCTCCACATGTCACTTGTGCGCGCGATGTATGCATCGAAAACTCAGCACCAAACACATGCTGTGACCCTGTCACTGGCCACTCCATATGGCCATGCACAATGACAGTCTCGTGTCAGTGTACATGACTGTAGACCTCTACGTACTGTTACCAAACCCCAAGACGGTCTTCTCAAGTCGTCGTGAAAAATAGTATACGAGTACGATTCGTAGCTTGCTGCAGTTTCTGCTACAAATAGTGTAGCGTAGACATCTCCTCGTAACGTCGTTGTTTCCGGCCCCCAGTCCAGTGCAGGTAGACGATAGATAGACATAGTACTAGTAGAGCGTGCAAGGGGATTTCGACTCATTGACATGATGGGCCAGAGGCCACTTTCTTTTGTTTGCTGAAACAGTGAAAGGAACGGACGGTATCGTAATAATTTCGGTGGCTTTCTTCATGACATGTGCATTGAGTCTCTGCTTACTTTTTCAAAGTTGCTTCAGCACTGAGAACAGATTCAGTGCAAGTAGTGACTAAGTCTAAGTCCATTGGGCTATGCACCCTTGACTCTTGCCTTGATAACAGTCCGACTCATACTTATACTGAGACCATTGTGAAACATTATTCATTGTGAACAAACTGACAGCGACCAACGACCTCACTTTTGAAGGATTCTGTAGCTGTGCCACCTCGACCTGAGCCAGGATTGCGACTGCCAAGTTTGGATATCATCCATCGTTTGCGTCGGTGCATCCCGTACGACTTTGCGCGTCTTCCTGTGTCCATATCAGGCATTTGTGTGGATTTCAAGTGGAATAACTGGCAAGGCTGCAAAGTGTATTCTGTGCAGAGCTGGAGGTCGAGTACGATTATATCCCCGGCCAAACTGGATCCACGTGGAGCTGCTATTCTGGTTGCCAGGAATAGAGATCCTCTCCGTCTTGTGCTGTGGTCGATGCAGGACCTCCTTCAACTCGAGACCCCTTAGGGCCAGTCACATTGTCTGGTCAGTCATCAAGGAATTCGTAGCTATAATCCTCAATCTGGGCAGCATCCTGGTGGGAATCCGATCCGATGGGGCGACAGAATGAATATAACAGGGTGTCAAACGAAGATGACGATGATATGGAGGTTGTGTCTGTGGACAGTCTTCCCAGTCCTATTTTACGACCTGATAACCAGGAAAACAGTAGTGTTACTGCTGTGACAGGGCTCGTTATGGAGCAGGAAGATTCAAGCAGCGTGGACACGAGCTGTGGAGACACGGTAGACCAGTACTGGTCGGAGCAGAAGGGCCTCTCCTGGCTGATGGCGCTGTGTGTGCGCAGGTTGTGCTCCGGCTCTGGCCTCGGTGCTCTCGCCGTGCTGATTCTGTTCTGCGTGCTGGGATTGTCATTATTTCTCGCCGCTCTGTTGGCGTACCCGATAAAGCTGGAGATGTCGTTGTCGTCATTTCAGATACCGGATCACGAGGTGTACACGAGAGAGGATGCGTTCGAGACAGCTCTTGGCTCGACGCCGTCCACACAGAACACCAACTTTGGCAGTAACTCTCGGCGACGCCGCAGTGCACCCTCCTCGTACATCTACAATGGATACAACAGCCTGCCGAATGCGGTAGATTTCCACGAGCGGGTGCATAATCGTTGGAAGATCAACCTGGTGTACCGGACTCGCGATGGCAGCAACATCCTGCAGCGTGATCACATTGAGCGTATTCACAACATCGAGAAGCAAATTGAGGCACACCCACGCTACACCGAGTTCTGCTGGCTGGATTGGGAAAACAGCGGCAATCAGTTGTACTTGTCGCAGTATCCGCCCGACAAGAGCTACTGCTACCCGCTCAATTCTCTCCTGACGTACTTTTACTGGCCGGACGGCCGCACGGATGTGCTGCGTTACAACGGTTCAGTGGAGTCTATCATCCGCCGTTCGTACTCGTACTCGGGCTTCTTCTGGTATCTGGATACGACTTTCTCGGCCCAGAACCTGGAGAGCAAGCTGATGCGTTCTCAGATCATCATCGGCTCGCCGCTTCACCAGCACCAGAGCAACGAGGACGATCACCAGCGCGCTAAGGCGTACATCGTCAGCTTGATTCCTTTCCTGGCTAGTCTCTCTGACAGGTAAGACAAACAGCTGTCCTCCTTAAATCTGCTGCTAACTTCTGTTCTCAAACTGTGTACAGTGGAACTCACGTAGTACTTACATGTACGTGTACAGTGGAACTCACGTAGTACTTACATGGACGTGTACAGTGGAACACACGTAGTACTTACATGTACGTGTACAGTGGAACTCACGTAGTACTTACATGGACGTGTACAGTGGAACTCACGTAGTACTTACATGGACGTGTACAGTGGAACACACGTAGTACTTACATGTACGTGTACAGTAGAACTCACGTAGTACTTACATGGACGTGTACAGTGGAACTCACGTAGTACTTACATGTACCCGGGTAAGACATGCCGTATTTTCCCGAGTATACAAATGAATGGCGATAATTATACAGGGTAGATGTATTGTACAGTCGTCCCTCTCTAATCCGGCACTTTATAATCCAGCACCCTCGATAAACCAGCACAATTTTCAGTAGCCAAATGTCCTCTTCATGCACATTGCAGCAGTAGATCAGATTTGTTAATCCAGCACCCTCCCTAATCCAGCAGATTTCCGTGGCACCAATGGTGCCGGATTATAGAGGGACCACTGTATAGTATTTTATTATTTTACTTGGGCATTCCCAACAGACCCTAACTTAAGGTCTTCTTACAGGGTGCCCAAGATGAATGAATGAATTTGTTAAGTTCCTGTCTGTATTTCGTGACTAAACATCTGTGTGCGGCTATGCGATAACGTCAAATCCGCCATATATAGGAGCCAGTTGGGGTGGCAAAATGCCCAAAGCGGGCACAGAAACCCCTTATATAGAAGAATTTGGGGTGGCAATGACGTGTATCGCATAACCTCTGGAAAGTACGGTACACCCGGTTTAATAGTACGATGCTTTTTCACCGCCCAGATTTCCTACTCTAAGCACATACCGTAGAACCTGCCCCTAACCGGACGCCCTTGGTGCGGCGGAAACTGTCCTTATATGGCAGGATTCCGCTTGATCCGGGGATGCTCGTTCGATCCACAGCACTTTTGGTGCGTGAAAATTTGTTGGGTCAACACAGGATTCCGCTAGGTGCAGGGTCCCGCAAACACAGGTTTTACTGTATACAAATGTGCATTGTACGGGTACGACACACTTACTACAGTTGCGCTCACTGAAATCCGACCCAAAGTGCAATGCTGGCGCCCTGGACCAGTTCCGATTACATCATTGTATTTGTACATGTGTACGTCCAGCCGCATTCGTGCCACTTCCAGGGCGTCAAGGGCCGTGCAAGTTGAGGGCGCCACATATGCACTCTAGGTCGGATTTCATCGAGCGCAACTGTAGTACTCTGATACGACGTACAACTTCCGTATGACGGACTTTTGAGCGTGTCCCGTTAGATCTGGCCGGCCGCGCAAACTACGTACTATTTTTTTGTTTTGTACACCTGTGTGCTACTAGTACATGGCAGGTACACTGTGGCAGGTATGTGCTTTAGTATGCTGACAGTACAGAGGGGGCTGTTTACAACGCAGGCAAGCTGGCTTTAGAGCATGACCTCGTAGCAATAAAATGATTTGTGCCACTAGCCATGTGTGTTTCTTAGTGCGATAAATAATTTAGAGCATTTTGACATACTACACATGTTTTGCGTGTTGGTCGTGCCGGGGACTCAACTTTGAATCAAAAGTACCTCGGCTAGAAAGTGCTTTCTTTCACTCCCCAACGGGGTACGTCTGATCAGAATCCCCTTTATGTTTGTTTTTGAAATGCTATTGCGGCTAGTGGTGTGCAAGGAATCAAACGCCCATGTTAGAATCATTCTCATCTACTGTAAAGCAAGACAGTTTTGCGGTGCACAAATTTTGCGTTTTCAAGAATTGCGCTGGTTCACGGTGAGAAACATTCGCGATTTCATCTATTCAGTTGGATCTTGTACTGTGTACAATCGATGTACAGAACAGTTCGCGCATTCACAACCGAATCATCGTGAAATTGTCAGTATGGTTAAGGGGGGGGGGGGGGGGTACATGGTTTGCACTATAGCACTAGCCCCCCTTGTCCTATAAGCTGGGGCCATAAACAGATCTTTTTTTTTATACTTTAGGGAAGCAGTAGCATTCTTGTGGCACAGTGCCGTGCACTCCAGTCCTGGCTATGTTGTGTGCTCTTCATGTGCCAGCATGTTACAGTGTACTTGACACTGCTGGGTTTTGTAGTCTTGCACATGCCTTGGGTCACATGACGTGCAGGTCACAGGACCCCAAGCATATCATGCTTCACCCCAGGCCTGGGCATTTCGCAGTGTTTGCGCTGTAGCTGTGCAGGGCTCAGCTTGCCACTTGCCAATCTGAATGGGGACGCATACGCATGATGCTGCACATGATTGTGTTTGCAGACAGCCACTAGCTGGGGAATCTACATGCCACTCTCTAAATTACCTGCAAGGGATTAGGTCAATCAAGTTCTGCTCACCAGTGCCAGTGCAGCATCTGTAGACCGGTACAGGCAGGAGAGGTTTAGAGTCCTTGTCCCCTTGGTCTCTACCTTGAAGAATATTATCATGAACTGATACTATTACTGGGGGTAGATGTGCTTCCAAGCTGTGATGTCCAGCATGGATGTGACTGAGGCAAAAGAACGCCTGTGTGTGTGTACATGTGTGTGTGTGTGTGTGTGTGGTACATGGTGTGTGTGGGGGGAGGGGGTGCAGTTCGTAATGGGCTGTTTGATTCCTGGTTGGCTTTCGGGTCATGCTAATGCTCCACAGTGGGTGTTTTCATCAGACTATGTGTACAGTGTAGTTTGTGGAGTAACTTGCATGTGTACTGGCTCAGTGCTCTGCTGCTAGTACTATATAGTTTACAACTGGTGTGCTATGGCCCATATATGGGTACTGTCAACTGTGCATAACCCACAAAGAGTGTGCAACTCCACTAGTATGGGTGCTAGCCCGACAAAATTTCAAGTTGACATGGGGGGGGGGGGGGGGGGGGTGGATATGTGCTATGGGTACTGGATTGCTGGGTGTCTATCTAATTCCAGTCAGTAAGTTACCTGTGATGTCTGGTGATTGTGCTTACTGAAGTACTAAAGGTACCTGTGATGTCCAGCGATGTCCAGTGATGTCCAGTGATGTCTGGTGATGTCTGGTGATGTCTGGTGATTGTGTTTACTACAGTGTGTAGTGCTTGTCTGCAAACATCACCTGTGCAGAGAGCCCAGGCTGTCCATACTCCTCTTTCTGATGCAAATGCCAATTAGCAGCTCAGAGAGACAGGCTCAAGAAGCCCATACTTCACCACCACTGCTCCGGGGATCTGCACTCTTGTGGTGTCTTGTTTTCGGGCACTTATACTTCAGTAGTGTGTGTGGGGGGGGGGGGGGGGGCTTGGTGTATGGGTGTTGTCTTCATTGGCTGTCATGTGGTTAGTTCAGGTGGTGATTTGAGACATTTTCAGTGTGTCACTGTCAATGTGGACCTTGAATGCTTCAGTGTCTACTTTACCAGATACCCCGCGCCGCGTCATGCTTAGTTGGCATGATTTACTGGCGGAGGCCAGTGTGCTGGTTGCCTCTTCATATTTGCCCCATTCAGGTTGGGTGCACAATGGTGAAGTGTGTGCAACATGTGTACGAAGTGAAACAGATAGGAATAGTCTGCCTGTTTTCATGTCAATCGTATGAGTGAACAAATCGTAGCACCCCGGAAATGAATCCCATACATTTTCTTGTAACTCCTCACGATGCTTGTAAAACTCTGGATCCGTAATATTTCACCTCTATCAAACATATGGATCCGTAGTTTTCTTGTGTGTTTTGTGAGCAGCTGTCGTATGCCTGTGTGTGACTGTTCTGTGTGTCCCTGTGTATGTGTGTGTGTGTGTGTGTGTGTGCATGTGTGTGTGTGCATGTGTGTGTGTGTGCGTGCGTGTATGTGTGTGCGTGCGCGCGTTTGGTATTCTTTAGTAAAATCCAAGTGCTGTACGGATCACCGGATATCTACGACTATCAAGTCATCACCGCGGTGTACCACGACATCCGCCTGTCCATCATCTCCATCGTTCTCATCACACTGTTTGTCTTCATTCTGACGTCCTTCTCGCCGTTCCTGACGTTCATCTGTATCGAGGCCGTGGCCATGAGCCTGCCGCTGGCGTATTTCGTATACAGAGTGTTGGCCGGTGTCAGCTCATTTGGCCTGCTCAACATCCTGTCGTTGTTTGTCATTACCGGTACGTCCAGCGCTCTTGCAGCAAGTCCTTGTCTTGCTTGGGTTTATAGTTTTACTTTATACCTGATAGCTTTACTCCATCTCTGAATTGCTACCGTTTGTGTTTTTTTACAATTTATTATGTCGACCCCATACCTGGGGACTCGATTTCCAGCCTGGGTTCCGTATATGTACTGTATAGCCATACACATCCTTAGAAAGTTTCATGTACGCTAACAAGGCCAGGCAGTAATGCGAGGGCCTGCAAGCGCATGCTCTCTCGTCTTTGTTTTTGCCTTGAATAGTCTGAATCGTTGTGCCTGGGTACTGCATCGAGACTGGCACGAGGGCATGGGGGCCATGATCTGCTTTTTAGTTGCGATCCGACATGTTACGTTGTACTTCCGAGTAGAAATACTGTTAGTGGAGGTCTTGAAGCTAATGTTTGTTGTTGGTGTGCATATGTGTGTTTGTGTTATTGTTGCTGCAATGTGTGTGTGTGTGTGCACATGCACGTGCATGTGCGTACGCATGTTTTCTTTTGCTGCCACTTATGCGCATGTGCAGGCATTGGCGTCGACGACGGCTTCATGTTCATCAACACTTTCCGGCAGGCACCGCACCGGACTCATGGCGATCTCTCCGTGCGAGTTCACTACACGCTGCACACCGCCGGAAAGGCGACTCTCTTCACGTCAGCCACCACCGCTGCTGCATTCTTTGGCAACATGGCGTCAGGGGTGAGTCTTCAGTTGATGACTTGATGCATACTTCTTGTCTGGTAGTTTGCAACGCTTACCGGTATTCCTCTCTGCAATTGATGTACAGCACTATCGGGCGCCAAAAAACGGAGCGCCAAAGAACGATCAGGCTAGAATTTTACCAAGCACAGCATCCCAATGTATACGGGGTGACTCAACCGTGCATAGACTGTAATACATGAAAATAGGAACGGACTAGGCTAGGAGGCTGACCCCCCAGTTCTTCGGCGACCGAGAGTACTGTAGTATTTGTTCTGAGTGCCGGCATTGTTTGAGAGTATAGATGTAGCTAGCAAGTAAAATGCTGATGTATGGCTATACCTGATGATTCAGCTGCCTGAGCTTTGGCCTGATCACCTTTTGACTTTTCCATAGGCTTGCTTTATTCTCACGCTGTTTTCGTTGTTGTCGTTGTCGTCGTTGTGTTGCAGATACCAGCCGTGCACAACTTTGGCCTGTTCATGGGTCTAGTGGTGGTGATGTGTTACCTCACCGTTCTAGTTCAGATGCCCATTGCTCTCTTCCTGTGGCAAAAATACTCGGCGTGTCGCAAATCCTGCGTTCCCGACTGTGGCAAGTGCATGGGCAAGCAGACGAGACGTATCGGGAACTCGCGAGGCAACGATGACGTCCAACTCATGTCGGTGGCGTTTGTCAACGAACGCAGCGGTAATAGTACGGTGCATATGGGTAGTGGGCATTCATCTACTGATTCGTCTCTACTGACCGTGTCACAGGCAACCTCCCAGCAGTCCATATCTTCGGAGGGTGTGGCTCCAGAGGACACCGCTAGCGGATGGCTGACCACTAAAATGTCAGCTGGCATCAAGCGCTTCATTGCCAAGCCCGTCATTCGATTCCGTGGTGTCGTTGTTATCCTGTTCGTTATTGTCTTTGCCGTCTCTGTCGGTCTTGTGACGCGTCTGAGAACAGCAGAGAAGCCACCGCAGTTTTTCCCATCCGACAGCAACCTACAGCAGTTTATTGATCTTAGTTACAACACTTCGGAGATGAATGTAGACTGCAATACATGCTCAGCTAGTTTTCATCATGTTATTGAGCCACCGCCAGCTCCCCCGACAACGCAGCCCGCACCCACCACTGAGGGGCAGCCACCGACGCAGCCTACCAGGTCCACGGCGCAACCCCCGCCAGTTGTGACCACCGCTCCTGTCGTCCCAGGAGAGACTACGCATTCGCTGCCCGAGACCACCGCACCTCCGGTTGCAGTTGTGACTCAGCAACCTACCTTTCCCACTGATGCACCACCGCCTCCCCAACCGCCGACCACCCAACGGCCATTTGTACCGCACACTGCACCGCCAGTTATTAAAACCCTCCCGCCGAAGGAAGTCCCAACGGATCCGCCATCCAACGTATGTGTGCCGATAATAGATAGCTTCTCCCCCCCCCCCCCCCCCCCAGCATCTCGAGGGCCAGGGACATGTTGTGCATTCTCAGACTGTATGCCTTATCCACTACACCTTGCCTGCAGTTACATCCAGTAGGGAGCAGAGAGTTGCTACTCATCACCCTGTACTCCCTGATGCATCGTACCCAGATGCGACGTGCAGTAGTGTGGACATGTGCGAGCTCATAGCATACCAAGCTAAGCTACCCAACCCCTCAGGATCAATCACACACTTCCCAATGTAATGTCGCTCAGCTTCATTTTTTTGGTCTGGTGTGTTTTTGCTGTGCATGGGTGTCACTGGTTGGGAGATTCTATAGAAATGCAGTTGTCTTCGTGCTCAGCTCTCTCTCTCTCTCTCTCTCTCTCTCTCTCTCTCTCTCTCTCTCTCTCTCTCTCTCTCTCTCTCTCCCTCCCTCTCTCTCTCTCTGCGTGTGTGTCTTAGGATCCATGCAAGAATGGCGATGAAACAGCATGTCCAACTCATGTCAAGCCAGTGGCACTCGGCAGCTCTGCCAATGTTTACATTGTATTTGGCATCAAGTCACTGATTCGCAACAGTGATGCAGCCAAGCATGTGATTCGCTCCAGCAACGATGCAAAGGTGAGTGACTCTGTGCCTGCTTGTGTGTGTGTGCGTGTGTGTGCGTGTGTGTGTGTGTGTGTGTGTGTGTGTGCACGTGCATGCGTGCGTGCATGCGTGCGTGCTTGGACATGTGCCCGTCGTTTACTGGTACAGGATTCATTGGTAGCCCAGCTGTCATGTTTAAACGTATGTATGCGCGTGCCTGAATGTGTGTGTGTGTGTGTGTGTGTGTGTGTGTGTGTGTGTGTGCGTGTGCGTGCGTGTGTGTATGTATGGGGGTGTGTGTCCGTACATGCTATGTGCATAATGTTGTCGTATGCGCAGGACACCGTGGTGTACGATCCGAGCTTTGCGCACGCGCTGTCCAACGTCATAACGGCAACACCGCTGGTATCGGACCTGTGCCGCATCTGCCTGGCCGCCATTGAGCCTCACCGGGGCCTGGTGAAGCAGACATCAGATGCTTACGAGTGCATACCCAAGAGAGGCTTGCCGCAGTCGATTGCTTTAGTTGTGAAGGGTTTGCCGTACTGTAATGACCCCAGGATTGCGAACCAGCAAACGTCCACCGTGCGCGCAGTGGCTAGTCAGAATCTGTCCTCCCTCAACTGGTTTGCCATGGCATTCAAATCGGTAAGGAAGCCAAGTAGAATGTGCTGCTCTTATTGCCGCGAATGCAGTGTAAATAAGTTACATAGTATCTTCTTTTAGTAGAAATCATGGAATTAGGCAAATTTTGCCTGTTTGTTCTTCGACTCTAAAAAAAAATCAAACAACAGCAACAACATATCCAGTCTACTGCAGACACGTACATCACACCCTTTCCAGTTAGCTACTAATACACTGAGCCTCAGGGGTTATAGCCTTAGCATTGTACGTGTACAGTTGACTGGCGGGGATGTGTTGGTGCAGTGAGCCCCAGAGCTCGGCAGGGCCGATAGCGTTGCCAATGTGCAAGTCCAACCTCTTGCAGCATAGCTTAGGAGCTGCAGCATCATTCCTGAAGAAGGCACTAATGGCTGTACCTTTGGTGAACTGAAGTAAACTTCAATTGTAAAGATAACATAGCAGTTTCTGTTGTAAACGAACAGGTGACGTGGAGACAAAGAGTTTAATTAGAGTAATGAAAAGTACTCTAATTTCAGAAATTTTAGGTGCTCAATATTTTCGGTGTGAGGGCAAAAGGTCAGGATAGGTGAACAGAAATTTTAGGTACAGAGAATCCCTATTGGATTGTGTGTATTAGTGTTTGGGTGGTGTATTGAAATTTTAGGTATGAAGTGGATGCAGCGAAAGTACCGAAAATGGAAGTACACCGAAAATTTGTGAAATTACAGTATTAACGAAGCGGACATGGAACATTGAAGTACTTGCAGCAAAATAACATAATGAAATTTTGTTGTCTCCGTTCACATGATTGTCATTAATATAATATGTCTAATGTTATATGTCATGCAACTCGTGTTCCAAATTTCAAGCGTGTTTTTAGAGAAATAGCAGTGACGTCAGTCAGTGACTAGACCACTTTGTGCTGTTGTGCCAAGCCACAATAACTTGTTTGAATAGTGCATACACGCCTGGGTTGAGTAGAACCCTACGCTACGTGTAGTCCTCTCAACTGCTTGTAGAAGAATATGTCCGGCTTCGGCTTCAATGTTTGACTCTTGACAAAGAGTGCATCGTATACTGTTGCCCTCGATGTTATGACATTCATCACTAAGAGATGTTTGTCTGTGTGCCAATTATCCTTGGCTTGTTCAGCACCTTCGGTGGGAGTTGAAAGTTTTGCCTTGTATGCATATGCCGTTTTATTTTTTACTGTCCTGCGAAGTTTTGTACTGTATTTCCTAAATCATCCACTCATCCTCCCCCTCTCTTTCTCTCGCGCAGAATGTCTTCGAAGGCGGTAGTAGCTTTGGTGCGCGTGCAGATTATGAAAAGTGGGATGCTTTCATGGCGGAGGTTCACCGAAACTACTCGTCGCCTGCAATACAGTCATCGTACCAGACAAGTGAATACTGGAAACAGGTATGGTGTTTGTCAAGGAGGATGCCTATTGTGTACAATACCATCAGTCATTGGTTGACGGCTTATTTCTATACACCGATATCATTCATTACCATTATGTTTGGCATGTCATGATGTGGGGTGCAGACTGTAGTATTCTGTGGTCCATTGTCATACGAGTATATTGAGTTGTACTTATGTTTATGTCTGCCTCTTTCTTTCTTTCTCTCCATGCATCCATCTCTCTCTCTCTCTCTCTCTCTCTCTCTCTCTCTCTCTCTCTCTCTCTCTCTCTCTCTCACTCAGGTGTTCCTGGAGGTGGTAGCTGTTACCAGTGCTCTGTACAGCATTGGCCTGTCAGCGCTGAGCTGTTTGGTGTTCGTAGCAATATTCACCGGCTGCCCTCTTCTGACAATGGTGACGCTTAGTACGGTGGCCGGCATTGCTTCCTTCGTTCTCGCCTTCTTCTACATGCTCGGATGGAAACTTGGTGCTGTGGAGGCCATCTCCATGTCCATCCTCATTGGCACAGCCGTAGATTACTGTGTGCACCTGGTGGAGGGATACTTGATTGCACGCCACCGTTTGAAGGGCCTGGACCGCATCTCCAAGTCGTTGCCGGTAAGCCCAACATGTTACGAGAACAGTGCCCGGTGGCTCAAGCCTCTGCCTACCTGTTGCTACCAAACAATAACCCTGGCTGGACGCAGGGAATTGTCTAAACAAACACCAGACACCTTTCAGACATTAATTAATTAATTTGTTTAGTTTTCCTAGTGGATTTTTTGTTTCTTCAGAATAACCTGTACGCGCCCTGCAGACAAAACCTTTCTCCCCTCCCCCCTGAGAATGATCCAGCTACTTGCTAGCTCTGCTATGGTGGTTCCGTTCGTAATCATTCTTTCGTCGTGTGTTGTGTGACTATACAGTGGATGAGCAGAGTGCGCGCACACATTGCACAGGCATGCCAGCGAGTACAATGGTCGCTGTCTCACGTCGGTATCTCCATCGTCAGTTCGGCGCTGACAACGCTGTTTGCCTCGCTGCCACTGTGCTTTGCGCAGGTAAGGGAAAACGTCGTCCTGCCATCGCTCTCTGTTTGTTTATGCTGATTGTCAGGTCATGCCTGTCTTCATCACACCACGACTGCGCTCTCCAGCCGACACCCCCGACACGTTGCCACAGCACGCCACCAGCAAAGCGACACATCACGGCTATATGAAGGAATTCAGTACCAACGGCTGTGTTGCTTTGTTGGTGGTGTGCTATGGCAACATTCCTGTATCTATGACTGGAAATTCTGGTTGTACAATATAGTGCTGATCATCCACACCTTTGGAGCACTGGCCTGTATCCAGGAGTTTCGTATGAGGAGTATCGTACTCACTCGATTAGAAGCCCCTCTTCAAGGACAGTTAAAAAAACAAAAACAAAAAACAAGCTCCTCTCGAATAGAAACCCGGACTGCAATTTACAAAGCCGCGGTGACCTGGCAGTGTCATGTATGTTAAGGTCAAGTGCGCAAAAAACATCTCGTGCATGCACATATTGGTACATGTTCTGGTCGACATAGTGTGTGCGAACTAACTCGGGGCCGAGTTGCTGTTAATATGAACGTTTTGGAGATTGGATTGAAATACTGGTATGAAATGAAACACTAAAAGCCCCTCTTGAATAGAAACCTCTTCAAAATTGGTATTGAAAAAATAGAAGCCCCCGGCTTCTAATCGAGAGAGTACGGTATGTTCTGATAAGAGAGCGGCCACGCATCCATCTAAAACTTGCACACCCAGCATGTATTTCAACATTTCTCATTTTCCTTCGCAGCACCACAGGAACTAAACACACTCCATCCGTTTTTATTCGTAAATGTGCAAATACAACAGTCAGCATAACATCCGAGTTGTTTCTCTCTTTTTTTTATTTGCCCTGGCTCACTAAAGTAAAAAGCCGTCAGCCCTCGAATTCGGGACGTGGCTTCTAAGAGCTAGAGTGTATTGAGTTGAAAAGGGCTCGATTCTCTTTGATGTTGGCCCTAGCGGCTGAGCTCATCAAGTGCCTGACCAGTTGTGTTTTGTGTGCTCTGTGTTTCTTTGCATTGTCACTGTGGCCATTGCTGCTGCTGCTGCTGCTGCTGCTGCTGCTGCCGTCACCGTCATCATCGACGTCATGGTTGTTTTGTGTATCCGTGTAGATCCAGCTGCTAGCCCGCTTTGGTCAGATCATGTTCATCAACACGTTTGCGTCGATCGTGCTGACGTCGACGGCGTGCTGCGCGCTGCTCTGCTTCCAGCCGCAGTGGCGCTTCCCGGGCACTTGGCTGGGCTCTGCCGGTGGCGCCATCGCCAGCGCGCTCTTCTGCGGCGCTCTCATGCTGCTGCTCTACATCGTGCACGCCGCGGGCCACGTAGACATTCCCGCGCCGGACGGTTCGAGCCTCTTCTGAGCGCCATGCCAGCCAGCACTCTTGATTGATTCTCCAATTTGTACATAGAATCTGATGTGATTTCAGTCCCGGTAAGACATACCTAGCAAGTTCTAGTTATCTACATAGCCTTCTTTTTTAGAGTTTTTTTTCTCACTATAACAGCAACGCAGTATTTAAGTTCAGAACTGGTCTAAGTGGATACACTCTGTGATTACATATTTAAAGCAAAGACTTACGCAGGCGTATGCTTTTAACATCTGGTTTTCTTGTGTTTGTTATTTTCTCAATCGAGTTTTGTTAACTGCTTTTCGTCCCCCCCCCCTTTTTTTTTTTAATGAAATCGTTCTGCGTTGCCTTGCTGCTTCTGAAGCAGGCTCAATTTTTCGTTGACTGCCACCAATAAGCTAACAATGTACACCAGCGTGTGTCATGGTTGGCACTTCGTTTTCTGCCGGTGCTTTCCGTTTTTAGTTTTCTTGACCGTTCTGATCACCGCCTCCTAACCTATACACCCGTGCACTCACCCATCAGTTTTGATCTTCATCTAACTTATCTATGTCCTCACCAGCCAATGTCTGTGTACTTGCGTATCTGGAGGTCAACTCATTCGGTTTTTTTCTGCTTTTCTTTCTTTTTCCTTTTTAACCATAGCTTCTGCCTGTAAGAGCGCACTTCTGCCACCGGCACTGCCATTGATGGCAAGTACTGGAATTCAGTACATGATAATTATGCTGCCCCTATTAGTTTTTTAGTTTTTCTTTTAGCATCTTGCCGCCTAGTAACCTAGTACTACCTGTAAAGTGTGTGAGCGTTGTCGCCCATGATGTTGAGTGTAATGGAGTAGTGAATAGTTACTTTTACCTGCCAATTACGGGCCCTTCACAACACACTTGCCCTTGCGGCCCGAACGGATCATTCTTTGTTGATCACCGGCTCGGTAGATTTTCATGGAAAATTTTCTTTCTGACGCCAGTGTCGATCTATTCTCGTATTTTCGAGTTAGTTTTGCATTCCCGGTGTTGTAATTCTTTCTACATTTATACAGGGCCTATTTTCATGGTCTGGCAGTACTGCAGGAATGCGCCATGTTGTATGCTGCTCTCGGAGATACCTACGAGTATCGACGCGCCACATCCAAAGCATATCTCTCTTGTACAATGTACCGGTCTGTTGGTGCTGTTGCTGGTGGCGATGGCTTGTAGTGGTTGTGGTGGTGGGTGTTAGTGTGTTGTGTGGGCCTGTGTTGTGCGCTCTGTGGCCAGTGTGGGTGTGGCGCTGGTATGCTCGTGCATGACATGTACCAGCAGGTCCAGCATACCAGTTCAGAAGAGCTGCGCTACATGATTGTAGTGTAGCTCTTCTGATTTTTTGGTGCAAGGAGTCGGGCCACATTTAACCTGGAGATCACAATGTAATGCAGTTTGTGTCTGGCACCATAGCCATCAAATTGTTATCAATTCACTATCATGACTCCGGGCATGATATGATGTGGCTTGGTGTACTATGCCATGCACCACTACATACCTACAAAGCAAAGTTGCAAAGTAAAACAAGTCGTTTGCAGCAATAGAGAGGTTAAGATGCACGTTATTTCCGACGTGACGCGAAAGTTCAGCTCGCGTTATTTGCTCGCGCGTCGAAAAATCAACGCGAGTGACCTGCTGCTCACGTCGAAATTTGGAGTTTTACGCCAAATTTGACGTGAAATTGCGCGTCACGTCGGAAATAACGTGCATCTTAACCTCTCTAATGAATATGCTGGTCATATACACGCGGCTGGTGAATACTAGTACATGTCAGTATACTGGCCTTACAGTACTACGTATAGCTGCGTACTCAACTTCAATAACTCTGATGCTGATTTGCACAAATGCCTGGATCAGATGTAGTCATGATGTGGGAGTTGTTCTATTATAGCCTTGCTGGACTGTTTGCAGACTTCAATGTTTATCATGATCAGTGGCATTTGGAATGGCTGAATGGCAACAACTCTCACTGATCATGACTACATGCACCAGGTCATGCCAGGCAATATCTGTGCAACCATCATAGTATCATCATAGTATCATCATAGTATCATCATAGTTATCGAAGTAATTACTTGTAGTTGAGTATCCAGCTGCCGGTATGATGTAGTACTAGTATTGGCTGTGTGTACGGCCAGAATATTCATTGCTGCAAACAACTTGTTGGACTCTTTGCAACTTTGCTGTGTACAGTACTTAGCTACTAGTGGTACATAGTACACTGAGCAAGCCACGTAGATAACTTCCCTCGATTCGGAGTGACCCCCTTGCATGTCTGAGCCGAGAGCCCAGCAGATAGCCGCAGCCTCAAACAATGAACAATAATGCCTGATTATTCCGACACCATCATGGCCACCGGGTGCCTGGGCCCTGGGGCCGGAATCAGCTGGTAATGATTCCAGCCCATGTCATACACGGTCTTTAACCTACCCCATGACAATACCACAGCATGAGGTGCCTGTACGTCGTGTGCATGATGGAGTCGTGAGGATCAGGCAGCTGCAGAGTGTACAATGTACCACATTGCAGCAGGTGCCGTGGACTGTGTGAAAGAATGTACGGTAAAGCTGTTCCATGGAGCGGCAGCCACACGGTCGACGTTCATAATTATCTACCATGACTTAGAAATAATGTGGACTGGAGATTTGCAAAGTGAAAACGAAACAGCTTAGCGGATAGCACATAATCGTAGTCGCATATGGTTACTCTCTTTCAAGCTGCTCTGTTCATGTCGGACTCAGAGTCATACATGCAGCGGTAACCCAAGCCCTTGGCAATTGGGTTACCGTTGCATGTACCCCAGAGCGATTGCTGTCCATGCATTTGGGACGGTTCTCTTGAGTCAGAGGTGTGTTTGACAATGGACTGAGTGATGCAAACAAAAGTGCAAAGAATGAAAGATGTCTCTCTGTACCTCTGCCTCGGCCCTCTGTCTCTGGCTCTGGCTGGCTCTGACAGGCCCTGACGTCAATCTCCTGACAGGTGCGATAGTGTACTGCAAGTCTGTAAGTAACACTGTTTGCACTAGTAATATTACCAAGAGTACATATGGGTTATGTACTCTTGGTATTACAGACAGTGGCTGTACTCTTTTTGGTCCGGAACGACCTTTGCTTTCACACACACAACAACTCAACTGACTGGTTGATTTTTGTAGCCTGTCGAAGTGTCGCTCGACTCAACATGCTGTTGACGTAGCAAAACCACCACAACAGTTTCCAAAGTCGTTTGTAGAGGAAATAATTTCCCCATCCTTACCAGGTGCTGACAACGCTCGTAGAGTGCGACTTTTGTAGCAGATTTTGGCACATCACTCCGCTTCGTGGTTCTTCCAGCTGCGACAGGTGCCTGCCCGCCATCGCCTTGTTGCCATTGTTGGGCCTTCGCCATATGCAGCCGGGTCGTGTTGCGCTCACATCTGCCTACATGAAACTGCACTTCAAACATTCCTTCGCAGGGAGCCCCACGACTCGTCTACGAGCTCCCTGATCCTGCGATCGTATCTCCACGACTTGTAGTCGATAGCAGCTAGTGTATACTCCCAGCACACTCAACACAGCACGCGCACGATGCATCGACGATCGATAGACTGGGCCACGGGGTCTGTTCTTTTGGAAATATTATTTTGAATTTTTGTTTTTGCACGAATTTCGTACAAGTAGTTGGCATGTTGGGCAGACTGGCCAGCTGCCAATTACTTTGCTGAATAATAATTGCTAAACAGAACCAAAAGAGAGCAAGACCTCGTCTGATCATCCCAGACTTGATTTTGTTTCCACCTTCTGGTGGCCCCGTGCTGCCAGAATGGTGTTCGAATCCCTCGTTGCCGAATTGCTGAACAAGCATTTGGGAAGCTTTGTCCAGAGTCTCGATGCTTCTCAGCTGAATTTGGGAATCTTAGGAGGTGAGTGAGTGGCCATTGAGTGCGTGCGTGGGTTCCATGCCTAGCACTACTCACACTCACAGCAATTGAATGTTCTTGAATTGAAGCCACACATTACTTAGTGCACAGCTAGGTACTTATAGCGTGATGGCTTGAATTTCAGATTGAGGTTTTGAATTTACAAATTTGATGGACACACGTGTAGTAACAGGTATGAAGGCTGTTGTAGAAGAATTAGAATGAGCTCTGAACTCCAATGAGTTTTACAGGCACTGGAAACACACAATTCCCACTGGAAGGAGAAGCCCATTCTATTCGCAAAAATTCCATTGCAGGATGCACACACAAGGATGCCATTGAAGTGGGCGCAGCATTTTGAAAATGCTGTTCTAGCGTTGTGTATTATGTGTGAGAGCACTCCCTTTTTCCTTCAGTTACAATGACCTGTACGCATTAAATGAAAATAAGTCGAATGTAAGACGAAGCTGATGAATGAATTGAAAATCGCCCCGACCGGCACATATTTTGAGATCCACCCTAGGATATTTTTTTAATAAATTGTGATACAGTGGTCCCTCTATAATCCGGCACCATTTGTGCCACGGAAAATATGCTGGATTAGGGAGGGTGCTGGATTAACAAATCTGATTTTCTGCTGCAATGACGCATGAAGAGGACATTTTGGCTACTGAAAATTGTGCTGGTTTATAAAGTGCTGGATTAGAGAGGGTCGACTGTACCATTTTATCGTTCAAAACACTATTCCCCCCCCCCCCCGACACAATAACTAAGTGTGAGAAACACAACACTGGAAAGCATTACTTCTCGTACATATCCGTTCCTGTCCAACGCGAGGAAATGATCGATAGCGAAAACATTCTGAGTGATCCGAGCATACTTGGATCAGGTGAAGTGTTCATCCAAATCCGCCTAACCCCGATTTGGATTCGGTAAAGTGAGCGTGTGGACATCCGCCCAGTCTTGTGAGCCTTGATCTAGATTTGACAAATTGAACACTCCCCTGGACCTGCTCCCTAGTCCGAAGGATGCAAAAAAACCTCTCAGCCACAAGTTTTATAAAGAGACGATCCTGAAGAACAAGGGCAATCAAGGCTTGTTTAAGTAGCGACAAACAAGCCTTGATCGCCCTTGTTGTTCTGTATTGCGCTCTGCCTCCACGGTGTTGAGCACTGTCAGCACACTGGGTGCATCCTCCGGTAAAGAGACGATCTTCAATGGATTTGCATGTATCTGCCATTTTGGCTGGACTTAATTAATCACAGGAGTTGACACATGTGATGACATTCTTGACTGCTCTTTCCCATGTTGGTTGCTCCCCACACTGGAGCTCGTGCTTTCCCCTCCGACCTGACTTGACACTTGACTGACTTGCGGCAATAAGGCGATAAAATCCACCGTGGAGAACCTTCTGGCTGGGGATCCCAGCAAACTTGCAAGCTAAATTATCATCATTCGAAAACTCACTGTGCTGGGCAGGAAGATATCTGTGATGCAGGCCTTTTCATAAGAGCCATTTTGATTCCCCTTTTACAGGTCATTCGGCTGAAATGAGTCGTGTTATGATGGGAGTTCAGTGGGTTGCTTTATGCCAGTGTTTGCAACTGCAAATACGTGTTCTCTTCGTGTATTTTGGTTATTTTGGTACTTCTGCGCTGAATCAATATTCAACACCCACTAACCATCACCGAACCATTATTTATATGCTGGCCAAGTCCCACTGAGTATGTCACAAGTCGCCTGATGATTGCATTGTGCAAGAAAACTCTGAGTTGCGACACACTTTGTAGACCTCCTTTGTGCCTTCTGCGTGTATTCTGGTTATGTTGGTTGCAGGCACGGTCGAGTTGGACAACTTGGCTGTTCGCGAAGAAGCGCTTGTGAGTCAGCGAGACTATTATTTGTTGTCTCTTGTTTGTTGGTGACATGTCAACCCACATACATGCATATGTACACGGCTGAGCTGTGAGGAGCCAGTAAACTACAGTCTGGCTGAAGAACAGAACTAACTTCAGGCTCTTGGCAAGCAACATTTCCAAAGAGTTTTCATGTAGTCATGGAAACGTTCGGAATAAAAGTAGTCATGGAAACGTTCGGAAATAATGCTTGTCAAGAGCCTGAAGTTAGTTCTGTTCTTCAGTCGCATATTTGTCTCCTAGGGAACTGAGCTACAGTCCGTTCAGACAATAATAATGCCCTTGATTTTGATGCAAAGTCATGGAAGCCTTGCTTTTTCTACAGTAGTTTCTGGCAAATCTCTTCAGAGTGGACACGCAAGGGTTCCTATGAAAATGTGTTGTCCGGAGAGTCCAAGTCAGAATTGAAGTGATGGCACAACTTTCTTTGTGTGCATATGTGCTTGTGTCTTGTCTTGTCCTCTCCAGTTGGAACTTGGCTTACCTGTGCTGGTCAAATCTGGACATTTGAGTAAGTAGTTGAAAATAGTGCGTTCTTGTTAAACAGCCATAGTGTGTATCCCTGCTAAGCAGCCATAGTGTGTGTCAGTTCCTATGCATCGCATGTGGAGCCCGGGCATACTGCTGAGAATTTTGAGTGAGCCCACGGCTGCTTCTCTCTGACGGGGTTGGTTGTGTTGCTGTGTCGTCGGTGGTATTCTCTGCAGGGAAGCTTCGCCTGAAGATACCATGGAGCAATTTGTACAGCGATCCCGTGGAGGTGAAGATCGACGGTGTCTACGTCCTTGCCCAGCCTACACATGGTAAGCTGAAGGCTGCTAGTGGCTAGCACGCTTGCGTCTGAGCTCTTCTTGTGCAGGGTGGATTGCTGGACTGGCTGCTATCATATTTAGCTCTTCATTTTTGACCGTTGTGTTTCCGAAAAGAATCAATCTGACTCTCTCATGCAAGCCGTGTGTGATTCATATATAAGTCACGTGATTTTATCTTCTTGTTCTGTTGAGCACCATCCGTCTTGGTAGTTTCTGCCTTCCAGTACTGGCGTAGGTGCGTTAGAATTCACATAGACCTCCCTGTGTGAGGTTTGCTAGTGCTGGCTTAGCTCTACATGTGTTGGACTACCATCAGTCCTTGCAGCTGGCCAGCAGAGAACGAGGTTGTATCCTGCACCCAATGTCCCGATATCTTCTGGAAAACTCCCTTACTCTCTCTCCCTGACCTATGTGCAGTGCTAGCATAGCCATTGTAGTTATTGCATAGGTCCAATGGCAGTGCCTTCTTAGAATGGCTGTGCTGGTGTTCACAGCTAACTTAGTTTTGCGTTTGGTCTGATTTGCGTGTGAACAGCCACTCCGTACGACGCAGAGAAGGACTTGGAGTCGAAGAGGGACAAGAAGCGCAAGGAGCTCCTGGCAATTGAGGAAGCACAGAAAAAGGCGGCCGAGAAAGGTACAGTTTGGCCGCGTGCAGTGCACTTCAACGTGTTGGGGTTCACTTTACTCTGCAATCGTCTGCAGGAGGTGTACGTGTTGTCTCGTAGTGTAGTTGCTGCGTGCTGTTGTCTTGTCCATTGTCACCAGTATTTGTGAATGGTATTCACTGTTGTCTTGTCGATTGGCGTCAGTGTTTGTGTTTGGCGTATGCTGTTGTGGCTGCTGTCAGTGTTTGTGTTGGGCATGTATTGTTGTGGCTGGCGTCAGTGTTTATACACTTGTGCTGCTGCATGTTTGCCATAGTGTAGTGTGCATCAGACTACGGATAATATGTACTCCCGTTTCCTTTTTTGTAGTTTTTTTACGCACACGTGGACAGTTCAACGTGCACGTGGTATGTGCGTACCTTGCAATATCATACAGTGGAGATTGGATATAACGACCTTGCATATAACGACAGATTGAGTTTAGCGACACAATTCTGTTGCCCAAGTCGTTTAGTAAGTCCTTTGTGAAGATCGGGTTTAGTGACTGATCGAATATAGTGACATGTTGTTCTCTCCCCAAGGAGTGTCGTCATATCCCATCTCCACTGTACATGTATTTCCGGCTCGATGTTTGATTCAGGTGATGAGAAGAAGAAGAAAGAAGAGGATGGCTTTGCTGTGAAGCTTGCCATGCAGATTATTCGCAACGTGCAGGTCAGTAATGCTGGCAGTGGATGGATGCTGCCTGTCTTTCTGAATTCCCATGGAGAGAATTTTTGTTTGGCTGTGATTAGTACTAGCTGTGATATTTTAGTGGATGTCATTGCATGCATCTGTACAGACGTTCATGTGTATTCTTTGTCGGACGTTGTAGGTAGGCTGGTAGGTTTGATACTACAGTGCTGCTCAATAAAATCCAGTAGCGAGAGTCAAGTTGGCGCCGTGCACCTTTTCGCAGCCCAGTGTTCGCAGGTCTAGGGCTGCACAACGGCCGGCGCGTACTTGAGTGCATCGACTGGATTTCATTGAGCATTACTGTAGATTAGCTAGCGTTGATTGCGTTGTTGTCATCATCATTTTCGTTGTTTCACTGTGTGCTTCCTGGTGTTCAGGTCTCCATCACTGACATCCACATTCGTTATGAGGATACGGTAAGGATGAGTGCCGTGTGTCTTCACCATTGCATGCCACCGTGTATGATACGTGTTTTGTCATGTGGTGAGGCGTGCTGCTGCTGCTGCTGCTGCTGCTGCTGATCAACATAATCCAGGTGGTGTTTGCTGATATGGTCTCTTCAATCTGGACGTAGGATATGGCGTTCTTTTGAAAAATGGTGATGATGATGATGTTGTTGTTGTTGCTGGTGCTGCTGGTGCTGCTGCTGTTGTTGCCGCCGCCGTCATCGTTGTTGTTGTTGTGGCTGATGTAGATTACCGTCCCTGGCAAGCTTCTTGCATATGGTGTGACGCTGGAGCGACTGACAGTGCAGGTAAGAATGTGCACATGTGCGTATCGCGTGTCTGGAGTCACTGTGCCTAGCGATGGGCACAGTGGACTCAAAGCATGGTCATTTCTATTCGGATCATGCATGAGTCTACTTTGAGCTAATCTCACTGGTACAGAAGACCAGTGTTAGTCAAGTGTTGCCCTGACAGATTGCAGTGTTGCTGCTGCTTTTGTGCCTGTGCAAGCTGATTTATGTGTGCTGGTATTATTTTTGTGCCTTTGTTCAACATGCTAGTATTTGAGTGTAGGCATTTGGAATGCTTCCCGGTGTGTGTGTGTGTGTGTGTGTGTGTGTGTGTGTATACATCTTCTTTACTCTCTCTCTCTCTCTCTCTCCCTCTCCCTCTCCCTCTCCCTCTCCCTCTCCCTCTCCCTCTCCCTCTCCCTCTCCCTCTCCCTCTCCCTCTCCCTCTCCCTCTCCCTCTCCCTCTCCCTCTCCCTCTCCCTCTCCCCCTCCCTCTCCCTCTCCCTCTCCCTCTCCCTCTCCCTCTCCCTCTCCTCTCTCTCTCTCTCTCTCTCTCTCTCTCTCTCTCTCTCTCTCTCTCTCTCTCTCTCTCTCTCTCTCTCTCTCTCTCTCTCTCTCTCTCTCTCTCTCTCTCTCTCTCTCCCCTTAGACGACCAATGCTGAGTGGAAGCCCATGTTTATGAAGCAGGAGTCTTCCAAGTTCTGGAAGGTATGGCCTGAATATCATTGTACCTCTCACATAATTATATGTTGTGTTTGACTGTTTTCTGATATCGAATGCGTGTGCATGAGGTAGACATAATGCAGGTTTCAGGAACAGGCACAGCTCTGATTTGTTCTTTGGAAACCGTTATCGATTGTGTTGTCTACGGACACAGCAGGGTAGGAGATTTAGAGAACACACACTGTATACCTGTCCTGTCCTGTCCTGTCCTGTCCTGTCCTGTCCTGTCCTGTCCTGTCCTGTCCTGTCCTGTCCTGAACATTGCTGTAAAACGCTCACATGTCCCCTCATACGAGGGGCCGACAGACATGGGGTAGGTCGGTTGAGTACGGTACGCAGCACGATCCGCAGGCTAGCGGCCCAGGAGAGTTCTGTTATAGTTCGCACAGCTGTGGAGTTGAAGACCCCTCTTCGATCGGCAGCACCTGCCACATGTGCTGCAATGCGCCTTGGAGCAGGGTAGTGATACCTGAGTCCCCTCCGGCACCGGTACTGCCGCACCCGAGTTGGGCACAAATGATGATGATGAAGGGCCCGCCACTGGGCACGTGGAGCGATCGTCAGGTAGACACTTATGGACAGCGAGGCCTCCGGCGCTCCTGAACCATCTCTGATACGTCGGGCATTTCCTGCTCCCAATCTGATCGGCTATCGGCTTGCTGCGCTCCTCTTTGCACTTGTGTCGGGCCATACCACTCTTTGAGAGTGACCGTCCACAAGCCGCGCATGGTGTTCGTGGTTGTGGGCGTGGTCCAGATGAAATACCGCTAGAGTATGTCCCTCACCATTCACTGCGCTCCTGCGCCAGGTTTAGTATAGTAGTAGTATAGTATTTATTCACATTTTTCTAGGGCAGTCCCCGCAGACCTATGGTCTCCTTACGGGGTACCCTAGCCAATCTAGGATTGCGATACGAAATTGACTTGGTGAAGCAGCAAGGCGGACCGATGCCGGAACTGAGTTCCAGCGGTCAGCGGCTAAATAAGAAAGAGAGGAATAACTGAATCGAGAGGAGGCTCGTGGCAGTACAAGGTTTGACGACATACCACGCACATGTCCACGATTGAAGAAGATATCCCGAGAGACTTATCTAGATAAATAACAGAGAAGAAGGAAAGAAACGATTATTGCGTTGTGTGTGACTGCATGTTGTAACTGATTTGCGGCCTGTCCTATCTTTACCAGTTGCTGGCGCAGCCGGATACGCCAGGATTGACCACACAAGAGTGGCGTATCGACTGTACCTTCATTGCTGTCAGTTCCTTACACATCCTGTTGCTGTTGCTTTTGCGTCTGCTTGTGTAGCTGGTGGAGCTGAGTTGCCTTTCAGTGTACTGTGATGTCAACGCCCCGTCGCTGCTCAAACTGACACCGCAGGAATGGCAGGTTCGTTAGTGTGGTGTGCGTGTGTGCGTGTGTGCGTGTGTGTGTGTGTGTGTGTGTGTGTGTGTGTGTGCGTGTGTGTGTGTGCGTGCGTGTGTGTGTGTGTGAGAGAGAGAGAGAGAGAGAGAGAGAGTGTGTGTGTATGTGCTTCAACTTTCCCAATGTCATCTTGCAATAACCATTGCCATAGATTTTTCAATCACACTGAGTGGCTAGTTCGGTGTGACTGTCCGTTCACACTCCACAGTGTACGGCTTGCCTTGCTGATGAACATAGCCATTGTCACAGTACACTGCTGTGTCCGAGTGGTTATTGTGGTCTTGTCCTGTTGTCTTGCGGCCAATAGTAATGTGTGCTGCTTTAGTTTACATTGTAACTACATGTAGTACCAAGAGTGCATAAACTGTTTATGGACTCTTGGTACAGTCGTCCCTCTCTAATCCAGCACTTTATAATCCAGCACCCTCGATAAACCAGCACGATTTTCAGTAGCCAAAATGTCCTCTTCATGCACATTGCAGCAGTCAATCAGATTTGTTAATCCAGCACCCTCCCTAATCCAGCAGATTTCCCTTGTCACAAATGGTGCCGGATTATAGAGGGACCACTGTAGTACCAATTTAGACGTGATGAATATACATGTATATTCTCATATGATGGAGTTCCATGTGGCCCGAGGGCGAATGGAATTGCGAGTGCTTTTTCGGCAGCAATCTAACCTGCTGTTTGTGTGTATGTGTGTGTATGCACGCTTTCACGCGCGCTCATGTGTGTTTGTTTACGTGTGTGCACATGTGTGTCTTGTTTACAGAAGCAGTTTGCTGCTCTGATTCCGCGAGAATTGGACGATGTACACCCCAGACACGAATACTGTGAGTTTGCATGGCCCGTGCATAGACAAGCTTGGGTTGAACAGCTTCCCTTCCTGTCGTGACATATGTGTGTGCGTGTGCCCGCGCGCGCGCGTGCGTGCGTGTGTTAGTGCGTGTGTGTGTGTGTGTGACTTTGTATATACCGTAAAGTACCGCCAGAGCGCCCCGTGTCGCGAGAGCGCCCACCTTGATTTACAGCCAGAGAAAGGAAAATCGTATGGCAGAGTGCAACGAAGTTTGTACGATGTAAGAATCTTAGTGTACTAAGGTCACACTTGGCAGGTTTTGTGTGGAGCTTGTGTCCGCTCGAAGGTACGGATTGACTGCAAAACGTGCTATATGTGTACAAGGTTCATGTCGTATGACCTACAGACAGCAGACCACCTCCACAATACGACCACGAAAGGGTGAGATGGTGGGGCGCTCTGGCGGTACTTTACGGTACACGTGTAGTTATATGTACTCACTCGATTAGAAGCCGGGGGCTTCTATTTTTTCAATACCAATTTTGAGGAGGCTTCTATTCAAGAGGGGCTTCTATTCGAGAGGGGCTTTTATTGTTTCAGTCCATACCAGTATTCCAATCGAATCTCTAAAACTTTCATATTCACAGCAACTCGGCCCCGAGTTAGTTTGCACACACTACGTCGACCGGGACATGTACCAATATGAACATGCACGGGGTGTTTTTTGCACACTTGACCTTCCTACAAGGCACTACCTGGTCACCCCATGCTTTGCGAATAGTAGTCCGGGCTTCTATTCGAGAGGGGCTTGTATTTTTTCAAACAGTCCTTGTAGGAGGGGGGGGCTATTATTCAAGAGGGGCTTATATTCGAGAGGGGCTTCTAATCAAGTGAGTATGGTACCCTTGTTGGGATCTGCGAGGAGTAGCTGAAGTGAGTCTGATCCTGTTGTTTGAATGCTACTGTTGTGCTGTCTACCTGCAGTGGTCAATCCAATATCCGCCACGGCAAAGCTTGCCATTGACAAGAACGCACCACAAGATCCCACGTCTCCACAGGTATGTTGCGGCTAAGTTGTTATATGGGTGGTCGTCGA